AAAAGAATTTTACCAGTGCTAAGACAAGGTATTGGTACACCATAAACACTTGCTGTTGCAATAACTTTTCGCCAACCATGTTGACATTTATTAATAGCATCCATAAAAAAATTATCCAGAAGTAAATTTTCTAATGATTCATTTTTGTCATATGCTGCTTTTATATTTCCCAAAAATACACTTTAATAAAAATAAAATATATGATTGAAGAGAAAAAACAAAACAAAACAATATACCTTCGAATAATGCAACCACCACGCCACATAAGTGCAATTGAACCATAATTTAATTTCCATGAATGTTGTTTAGCTGCTTCACGCATAAGCATAAAACCTTGAGCATATGATATTATTTTTGATGCATATAATGCTTGACCAAGATACTCAATAAATTCTTTTCTATCACCATCAAAATCTTGTACTCTAGGTCCTTTTAATTGTGATGATGCACGTTGACGTTCATCAAGTAATGATGATAAACATCGAGCAAAAACTGATTCACCTTTTACAAAAAAAAAAGTAAAATATTCTTTTTTAATTTTCTTCTTTAAATAAATAGATTATCTTACCTATCAATGTTACAGGTACACCATATTCAAGTGCAGCAATACCTGTCCATTTGCCAGTTCCTTTCTAAATAATAAATTTTATTATAAAAAAAAAAAAAGGTAATAATTCAAAGAATGAAATAACCTGTCCGGCTGAATCTCGAATTAAATCTAAAACATGTTTACCATTCTCTTTATATCGTAAAATTTCAGCTGTTATTTGAATTAAAAATGAATCTAATGTTCCTTTATTCCATTCTTCGAATGTCTAAAGTAAAAGAAAATTTTTATAAAACAATAAAATAAGTAATAAAAAAAAAAAAAAAAGAATATTTTACTCCAGCAATTTCATCATTAGACATTTTCAAAACATCTCTCATAATATGGTAAATTTCACAAATAAGTTGCATATCACCATATTCAATACCATTATGAACCATTTTAACAAAATGACCTGAACCTGATGGACCAACCTTTTATTTTTGAAAAATAAAATTATTAATAATATGAAAATAATTTAAATTAAAATTAATCTACCCAATCACAACATGGTTGACCATCGGCTTTAGCAGCTATTGTTTGAAATATTGGTTTTACATGTTCCCTATAATTAAGTTATAGATAATAATTATCTTTAGGAAAATTTAATATATAATGCAAATGTTTGACTTTTATTTTCTTCATCTTCGCAATTTATGTTTTTTCTGAATATGTAATTTTCGAAATTTTATACTATTTAAACTTTACACCGAACACATGGAATAGTACGAGTCAAAAGATTTTTTTCTCGCATGCGGTGATAGTGAAAGATCCTCAGAAGATGACTAATCACTATGAACAACTATTTAAAGCCTCTCTAGTTGTTCGCTCGCATCTGTATATTGATGCACTTTCTCTTGTTTGAGATAATACTAATGATTCGATCCTTATGGTCACCTACTTTGAAGTGTTGAAAGTCTTAGCGATGAGGAAGAAAAAACGATTGTGAAACTTTTACGGACTCTCTCCATTTCTACTCGTACAGATGCCTCGAAACTACTGGCACCTACTCAACCATCTATAAAATCACTCATTTACTATTAGTTCTCCACCAAACAAGTTCAAGGACGTTCTTATGGTACTTCTAGTAAAAAAAAGACGCCGTATAGACACCTGATCAAACAAGATTAATTTCTCTCCATGATTCACTTCTCAAGGTACAAGAAAAGCTTTTTCTTGATTGATTCCTTCAAGTTCTGGAAGATAGAGGCATCCTGCCTAACAATCAATCCGATTTTCGTGCCGGCCATAGGCTGCAGTCACGAAATCCTCTCCTTGTCGAGGAAATCTGATCATCTATGGTTTGAAGGATGCTTAGAAAAGCTAATTCGAATGGGTACTTCGTAGTGTGTGGCTGCACGATAGATTCGAAGTGATTGAGATATAAGGTAAACGATCGAGGTGGTTCTTTATTCATCATGATAGTCTGCAAAGTTTGATTCTTACCCTTACTTTCTTCATCACTTACTACAATGATATGGGCCACTTTCTGCTCATGGATATGCCTTTTTTTCTTTGCCGACGATTTAGTCGCTGTCATAGCAGAGCAAATGGAAATACGTTTCACTGGTCAATGTGTTGACTTAGAGTGAAGATTTCATGAATTCTTCGACTGTTTTGAATTTGATTCTGTATTCGTAGTTTAGTCGAGTAACTATACTAAAATTCAAGCAAGGTCATCTGTTTTTGCCATCAACTATTCAAATCTGATACTGCCAACTCTTCAATGCGGGAACCATATAATCGAATAGATTTTTGCATTCAAAAACTATCAAAACTAGGCTAAGGTAATATCATCAGTCGAATCTGTTTGAGAATTCATCAGCAGCCAGCATTAGTAAACTCGATTAGATATGACAGAGCGTCCTCATTGGCACTTCTATATGGTCTATTCTCTGCATTGATGCTTCCTTTTTGCACTTGATTACTAACCCTTTATCCTCTGTCCACTATTTGTCAATAGTTGAGCCTTAAACACTTTTACTACACTTCGCTAAAACATGTATATTACTGCCTTTCCTGGGAGGATTTCTTTTTCGTTTATGTCTATGATAAGTGGCCACTCGACTATGTGTGAGCATCCACTGGTGCTTATGACAGGAAAGTAGAATATGATTTCGTTGTCTGCACAGATCAAAAGGTTTCGTTCCACACATCAATATGCTTAGTTTAGCTACAACGAGGATATCATTCCTCGCGGCATGATCGATTCAATTTTAATGCTCGATGTAAAACATTTTAGATGCTTTACAAAGTTTGCTGAAGGCTTCTAAGCAATTTTTGCTCGTTCTTTCTTTTCTTCCTTTCTTATTTATTCTCGTTTTTTTTTGTCGCTCTCTCTCTCTCTTGTCTCTCTTGCCCAACTATGTAACTAATATAACGTCCTTTTAGGACTGCTACAGCCAGAATGATATAAAAGGCTTTATAAGAGAAAAAAAGGATTTTTTCTAATGTATTGAAAAACTTTTTGTAAGCTAATCTGAAAGCATTAATTCGTACACTATTAACTTTTTATAAAAAATGAATTTCTCTTATTTTTTTAAAGTTTATCGCATATATTCTGTGACTGAAAAAATAATTTTCAGCATTTTTTTCAAATATTTGCATTACATATTATTATTTGTAATTCTCTTACCATGCTTTTTCACTGCCCCCAGGCATTAATGATGGACCATAACGAGCTCCATCTTCACCACCTGAAACACCAGTACCAATGTAAAGAAAACCTTTGCTTTCCAGTTCTTCAGCTCGTCGCTTAAAAAAAAAAGTAGAAATTGAATTTCTAACAAATAAATATTATTTTGTCTTTTCATACTATTGAATCTTTATATAGTGAGTTTCCACCATCAATAATAATATCACCTTTTTCAAGTAATGAAGTCTATTAAATAGAAAATTAGGATAAAAAAAAAATCTAGATAAATTTCATTTACTAATTTTTGAATAAAATCATCAACGGCTTGACCAGCTTGAACTAAGAGCATAACCCGACGAGGTTTTTTAAGTAATTGAACGAGTTCTTCCATAGAATGTGCACCAATAATTTTTGTTCCTTTAGCTTCATTATTTAAAAAATGATCAACTTTTGATACAGTTCGATTGAAACAAGCAACCTAATATAATATCAAATAACTTTTTATTCAATTAAATAAATACAAAGAAATAATTTACTGTAAAATTATGATCATTCATATTTAAAATAAGATTTTGACCCATAACAGCCAAACCAATAAGACCAATATCAGCCCTACAATATAATTTTATACAATAAATGAAAAAAACAAACAAACAACACTTACTTTTCTTTATTAGTTCCAGCCATTGTTATATGGACTATTGGTTTAGAATGCGAATCTAAAACTTATGTTGGAAAAGAAAATGCACGTAATGCTTGACAATGCAAAAAAAAAAAGTTATAGTGACTCGTTAATATCACTATCCAATGCGCTATAAACGTCCTGGAAGTACACAAATCAACATATTCAAGTAGGTAGACAGACAATCGAATTGTGAACAGCCAACTAATAAAACAATTTCTATGATTTTATTGTACGATAGATTCTAATACAAACATTAAATGAAATGAAAAAAAAAACCAATTTGATTAATCTAGTAAATTGAAACATTAGATGTCACTAGTTTAGTTAACCTAAAAAAACCAAGCCATGATTGTTATTGTAAAGTGTAATAGTCGAGTCGATCTCGTTCTAATTAAATTATTTTTCTGAATCTCTCTTTAGAATTATTGCGATATGAAGAGAACAATGATATTATTATATTCATTGATGATATATTTTAATAACAGTGATAGGTAGAAAATTACTTCGTAGTTTAGCGTATATGAAAATATCAGATATATATCCAACAATGATATAATTCAAAAATGATAGAACGACGAAGATGCTTACCAGTTTACTGTCAATAGAACACATTTAGCGATCATACCAATCAGTCAATAAACTTATCGACAAGTAGTAAAGAAAAAGATGATATGATCCATATACTGAAAATAGGGAAAAAACCGGTTGTTTTCTCCGGTTAACCGGTGATTATTGCCAGTAAACCACGATGTATCACTAAAAGTGATTCGGTTTTTGTAACATAGGTTGTTTACTCATACATTTTCATTTGTAATTAAGAATAAAAATATTCTTTATATAGATAACAACTGAACTATCTTTTTTGTTTTTTAGTTAATATTAGCATTGATTAACAGTTTTAAAATATTTTCTTCTCATTCTTTTTTTATCTGAAACTTTCAAGATAAAATAAAAATTTTAAAATAATCTTTTATTTAAAATATATAATTATAAACGCTCCTTTTTATTTCAAGTCCCGCTCTAATTTACTTTTATCTCTCAATAATAATTTCATAAAAAAATTTTTTTTTCTCATATAAAATTGATATATATACATGAATAATCATCGATGTAAAAGTCAAAAATCTTTGATTACCATTCGAAAATGGTTAGTAGAATCAGGTGATGGTCCATCAACAACAATTTGTATTCCTTCTTCAAGAATTAAACACGATAGACAACAAAAATCATGTTTGAATAAGATAATCAAAAGAAAACGATTTAATAATCAAAAATATTATTCAAATACAACATCATTTATCGATTGGTTCTATGAATTTATCAAAAAAATCTTTTTAATTTATGATGAAAGAAAATCGAAATATGACGAACAAATATATCATCCAACAATTGATGATACAACTATATCAACAATAACATGTTCTACTTGTCAATTGAAAAATATTGATCCATACATAAACACGTATATTTATTTTGTACAAGTAATTAATATATCTTTGTTTTCATATATCTATTCTTCATAGTATTCAATCAACATTAAAATCTAGTAACAGTAATTTAGTTTTACATTCTCAAACCAATACTAAAGTAATGGTAACTACTGCAACCAGTAGTTCTAATTTAAATATTACACAATCGATCATTCTTCATTCATCGAAATCTACTCAAACTCAAGCATATCATAATGAACAACATTCAACTGTTTATCCGCTCTATTGTTTTTCTGTAAAAGATGGACAAATATTGCCTCTTATGTTATCATCATTTTCATCTTCAAACGACATTCCAAAATTGAAAGAAGTAACTTCTTCATTTCCCATTTGTATTAATAATGAAACATCTGAATATTGCAGTAAGACTATTCAAAAAAAAAAGGAATTATATAAATTTTCTTTTTTCGTTTTGTATTTATAGATCCTCTTATTGATTCATCAATTTCACCACTAACAACTGATATCTATTCTCATTCATCTTATCGTCCAACTATTGCATCAATTACAAGTTCAAATTCAAATACAATTTCATTAAAAACAACTCAAAATCCAATGAAAGATAATATATTATCAAAGATTCATCGTCCTTCATCATCACTACATGATACACGTATATGTCATTTTGATAAACGTAATTGTTTAATTGAATGTTGTCATTCATCAAACATAGAAAAGAAATATCCATCAAATTTTTATCGTTGTTCAAGTACAAATACAAATACTCCTGAAGTTGTCTTTGCAGAAAGTACTTGTCAATTAATTAAACAAGCATGGCTTTCATCTATATCTGATCAACAAGTGAAATTTTAAGTATCGAAAACATGACAAAAAAAAAAAGACATGAATATAATAATGTATTTTTAGAGAATAGAATTTCATATGTGTTCATATATATATATATATTATTGAAAAATAAAATACGTCGGTGTTGATTTACTCAGATTAATTTCATATTAGATAATTAAATTAATTCATCAGGTTTAAACATGATATTAAATAGTAATATGATGACATATTAAGGAATGTTCGTGAAGAGTTCTTTAATATTTGATCAGACTGTTGGCAAAAGATATTCATATTTATTATTGAGAAGACTATCGTTATAATTCCATGTTCAATTATTGACATGTTCTTTTTGTTTACTGAATTTCTACTAAGAAAAGTTGCTTTGTTGTTGATAACAAGATTATATTTGTATGCTTCTCGTTAATGATTAATTGTATTGATTGAGCTTTTTTCATTATTTGTATTATGTATAAAACTTTAACATCTATCCTTTTTAGAGAGTCAAATAGTAACATTCAATTCTCAAATGATTTTTTAATAAATGATAGAATGTATTTTTGTTTCTTTGAAAGAATGATATTGTCAATATCTATCAAATAATTCAATCTATTGAACAAATGTTGCGTGTTTGATAATTATTTAATATTTATTTATTATATGAACTTTTTATGTAATCAATATATCAAATGAAACTCAAACATGTTAAGTTTACTCATCATTTATTACAAATATTAGTAGATATTAAACAGATAGATGATGAATATTTAACAGTTAAAAAGTTTATTCTTACATTCTAATTATGGAATGGTAATATAACTAATTTAACAAAACAAAATCAAATAATTACTGAAAGACTACATTGATTTTAATTTGACAAATTATTCTGTTATTTTTAAATCTTATCCTTGAAATAATTGTTCATTATTAAAGAGATCAACTTGCTGATACGTTTTCGTTTTAAGCTAAAACTAAAAATAAATCATTTCTTATTGAACACCTTGTATCTGATGAACATCTATCTCATATGTCTTATAAGAGTAATATCAATCTAGTATAGTATACACTTTTTTTTCTTCATATAATTTATTCACAATGATGATGATCTGATAAAATATCTGTTGAAGACCAAAGAGATTCTTCATCAATTTATATGAATCAAAAAAACAAAAAAAATCATGGAATTTCATCAATAATTTATTTGTAACAGTTGTGTTAGACATAATAAATAATTGTTTACAATAATTAAATATAAAGACAATTAATCATAAAACGAAAACTTCTATTGATGATGAAAGCTTTTTTTTTTTCTATTTATTTTGACATATACATTAAAAAAAAAAAGCCCAAGAAAATAGTTGAAAATGCAACCACCAGGTTGAAGAAATACGATTTCATTTATATCACTGTGTTTATATAAAAAACAAAAAGAATATAAAACATCAATTATAAAGAAAAACAAGTCATTTATTCATCCCAATTATTATTTCCACTTTCTATTTCTTGATTTTCACCTTGATCTTGTACTATAATACCAAATTTATTAGAAAATGATGTTGTTTTGATTTGTTCATTTGATTGATCTGTATTAACATTAAACATAGTTTCAAGTTGTCTCATTAATTCAACTGTTTCAACTTTAGGTGTCATATCTTTAAAAAAATCTTCTGTATCTTGTTTTTCTAGTGTTTCGATTTTTGTTGATTTCTTATTTGTTAATACAACAGATGGTAATTCATATTCACTACCTAATGGTGCATTTGGATCCCATTTTGATTTCGTAGGACTCATAAGTTTCAAAGATTTAGTAGGTTTTAATGATTGTTCAGATATTGATGAAGATAATGTTAATTTTTCAGGTAATACAAATGATTCTGGTGGATCTGATTTATGTTCCCAATCTGACCATTGACCATCATCATTATCAATATCATCATCTTGAATATATTGATTAGAAAGTCCATTTTGAATAATAGTTGTTTGTGGTTCTTCAAGAATATTATCTGATGATAAATGATCTCCATTCGTATACTCTGAAGAAATGGTAAGTGGTTGAGATGGTTCTGTAGTGATTGATTTTGTTTTTAATCGAAGTGGTCTAGAAAATATACAAAATATTATTAGAAATCAAGAAAAAAAATTTTTAATTTACTTTGTTTTATTTGTTGAAACTGGACTAGGTTTTCTTGGTTTTTGTGGAAGTGATGGTGATGTTGATAATGGAGAATTTGTTCTTGATATAATTTTTGCTGTTTTTGATAATAAAACATTCTAATATTTAAAATAAAAAAAATAATATTAATTAAAATTTAAATTAATATAAAATAAATACAAACTTCTTTTTTTATTTTATCAGTAAATATTTGTTTTCGTTGTCCACCAACAACTACATCAGCACCTAAAACTGGTACCATTGAAGCTAATGCAATTAATGTTAACATACATATTGTATTATTTGAATCTTTAAGTCCATAAAGAAGCTACAAAAGAAAAAAAAAACATCAATGTACAAAAATAAATTTTTATCTTAATATTTAAAATAATTTTGCTTTTTACTTGTGGAAGAATAATATTCATTAAAATTGTTCTATCAATTAATTCCCAATATGAATTATAATATTCAAGTAATGTTTCTCGTATACATGTTACATGATAAGAAAATAAATCAATTATATGTGGTATAACATATATACGATATTTGTCAATTGTAATCCATGAATTATTATTATTATTATCATTATCATCATCATTTTTAGGAACTATTATTCTTGGAATGATATTTAATCTTGTTGATGAACATAAAAACATAAATGGAAGACATAAACGACGAATTAATAATTCATTAAAATATTCTGTATCAAGATTATCGAGATATGTTGATAGAGAACTTCAACAAAAAAAAAAAAAAAAAAATTAAAATAACGGATGGCCCATAAATAATTATACTGTTAGTATTTTCGAAATTTCTACTCTATTATTGCTTTGACTAAAACACTTTTTTTATCAAAAGATAGCGCTTGAAATTCTCTACAAAACTAAAATAACGGGATGAACATAATGAATGGCCACACTTTGCATCCCATTTTTTCATTACTTACCTTGTCCTATTAGAAAAACAAAATATACCAAAAGGTGCAGTGTGAAAAGCTCTACAATTTACATAAGGTCACCTATTTAATAGTTGCATTTTTTGTTTTCAAAACGGACAAAGTTTTGAGCGATCAAATTTCGACCGTACGAAAATGATATTGTTTTTTGGTACAAGATGAGTTCGTTTTTTTATTTTCTCTTTTTATAATTTGTTCCTTGTAAATTGTAGAGCTTTTCACGCTGCATCTTTTGGTATATTTTATTTTTTAATAGGATGAAGTAATGAAAACATTATATGCAAAGCGCGACCTTTCATTACGTCTATCCCGTTATTTTTTTCAGCTTTTTGTATGTCTTTATTTTTCATCTTTTTTCAAATATATCTAAAACAGTTTTAGGATCTAGTTATATATGGTTTTGTAGAGAATTTCAAGCGCTATCTTTTGATAAAAAATGTATTTTAGTCAAAGCGATAATAGAGTAGAAATTTCGAAAATACTAACAGTATAATTATTTATGGGTCACCCGTTACTAGAAAATAAAAATTAAATAAAATACAAACTCGACTACATTGGAAAGATCGGATTCATCAACAGTCGGTAGACGATCAAGAAGTTCAATTGTTTTAATATAATCAATTCTAATAAACAAAAAAAAACAATAGATATTTTTATTATAAGTCTCTTGTTTTTCAAAAAAAAAAAAAAAAAAAACAAAAGAACTTTTACTGAAAGAATTGTGTTTTAAGAAGCATTGACCAAGTCGGTCGTGATTGTGGATCTTCTTCAGTAAGAGATATTTGTAAATCATTTAAAAGATTTTTTAATGAATCTAATTAACAAAAACAAAAATCATCTTTTAAATAATATTTTCACTTGAGAATATATCCAACATAATTCTAAGTTCCAAATTAAAATCAAAAATAAATAATTTCATTTTTATGTATTCCTCTCTTCAAATACACAAGAAAATAATTAAATAGAATGCAGACTATTGAAAAATAAGATATCTAACAAGTATGACATAGCTATGAGTTTATATTTATATTTATTATATAAATATGTAATATTAAAATTTTCAATGTTGATAATTAAAAAAAATTCAAATATTCCAAAATTTTTCTGAAATTAAGATCTATTTTATTTCTTAATAGAGAATTATTTTATGTTTACAAAATTACATATCAAAAATGATTTTTTTTATTTTTGAGTCACTCTCATCTCTTTTTCATATACAAATAAAATTTTTTTTTTTTACCATCAACATTGACAATTGTCATAAGATTACGAATCAATGTACCAAATCCATATACATCAATAGCATAAATTTCTTGTCTATCGAATTCTGTTGAATCCTATTAAGATATCAAAAAAAAAAAAAAAACAAAAACAAAAAGAATCCATCTAAATCAATATTCAATATTATTGAAACCGTTTCATTTTCTTCAGGTGTTATACATTCTTCATATCGAATCATTTTTAAAGATGCTAAATATTTTCTATTAAGATTATCATAACGACATGCACATTCAAAATTTCCTAATTTCCATATACCATTTAGAGATATATAAAGTGATAATAAACAAATATTATTATGACTAATAGATGCCTATTTAAATAAATAATATCATTGAAATGAAATGAAATTTTTGTTTTTTACTTTGTCATGGAGAAATTCTAAAGCTTGAGATAATTGATAAAGACCTAAACAAATTTTAGCTGATGAATCAATATCATTTGTATGTAATTTATTTGTTAATGGATGTACACAATCAGCAATAAAACTATCATGATCAACAAATGTTTTAAAATCAGTAAAAAATTTAATTATATTTGGATGACGAATAGTTTTTAAAAACTAAATAAAATCATATTTTTATTTTTTTAATAATAGTTTTAAAATTATTTGTCAAATAATTTACTTGAATTGATCGTCGACATTCAACAGTAAATGTTTGTTTAGGTATAAAAATTGAAATTGGTTCTGATCGTTCATTAACTCCATTATAAAGGTGCCAACAAACAGAATCATCAAGTGAAATAGGTGTTCGTGCTGTTGATGATGATGACAAATCATTTCCCATGGTATATAAATAATATGTTTTTAGCTTTTTTTTTTTTTTTGTCCTCTTCTTCTATACTTAAAATTCAAATCCAAACAGAAAACAAAACGGAACAATTTTATAATTGGATTTTATTTTAAACCTATAAGATATTTTTTTATGAAAAATTTTTATTGGTATATAATTAACCAATAAAAATTAAGTCTTAAATAAATTCCTATTGATCTCATATATATATACACATATACCTAAGTTAATTGATGGGTAAACAAGAAAAAAGAAAACAACACTAGTAATTGATATGAATACCAAATTTGAATAAACATTTTTTTTTAAACCATGTTTAAAATATGTTCTGTGATAAAGAATTTATTTTAATTTTAATATATTTATTTATTGTTTCTCATGTTTATTCTAATGAGAGACAATTTTCAACACAAAAACGTTTACAATACAAGTAAATATTTTTCTTATTGTTTTTTTTTTTCGTATTTTGAATATATATATATATTTATATAATTTTTATTTAGAAATCATGTTAAACAAATGTTTTATCATGCATATGATTCATATTTAAAGTATGCATATCCATATGATGAATTACGTCCATTAACATGTGATGGGTAAGAAATAAATAATTTGTTATTTTCAAAAAAACAAGATTTTCCTTTTTTTATTTTGATTAAATTTTAGTTATGATACTTGGGGAAGGTAAAATAAAATAAATATTTTATTTTTTGCTTAAAAAATATTTTTATTAATATAGTTATTCATTGTCACTTGTTGATGCAATTGATACATTAGCTGTACTTGGAAATAATACAGAATTTGCTCGTGTTTATACACTTATTCAAAATTTAGATATTGAACGTGATATTAATGTTAGTGTATTTGAAACAAATATTCGAGGTATTATTTAAAGAAATAAGAATTATTTTATTGGGTATTTTTTTCTAATTGAAAATTCATAGCTCAATCAAATTGATTTATTCATGTAGATTTTATCGAGTAATTCATTGTTTAATTTGTCAAAATTACCTAGATTTCTAAGAAAATAATATTACAGAAGCGAATTTATTTAATAAACATATCGTTATGATATTGTATATAGGATCCGTCAACGTCTTAATATTTATTGTTAAGCCAGATTATTAAATATGACACATAGAGGTCATTTCATCTTTCATTTATTTCGTTGCTCTTTGTCTTTTCTTTGTTATTGAAGTTGACATCAACAAGTCCTTTATTATATCTTTGTCATAGTCTAGATTAAGGTTATCCTATCGGCAGTTATTCAACTAATTCTACAAGCTTTATAGATCGAAAAAGCTGTTAGCGAGTTCCGTTCGAGGTTAAAATAATGGATCTATATATGTATATATATGGTAAATCAAAGAATTCTGCAACATATTTTGCGGTTGATAACCTTCAACATACTGATATGTCTATGATAAGAATGTTATTTGTAATGTGTTACAATGAGTTTGAAACGTGGAGGTCAAAGACAGCTGTCTTTCATTCCATCTCTTTCATAATAATCATACAGAAGACTTTAGTTCTATGGTTAAGTTTGCAGTCATAGACTAATGAAAAAGGACGTTGCCAAGGTGTCTGTCACTATCTATGATGGGTAAGGAGGCGTTGCTAAGACGTCTGTCACAGTCTATGAGAGGAACCGGAGCATTGGTCAGATGTCTGCAAATAGGAAGTTTGAATTTCTACCCCCTCCCCCTTCGTATACTTCAACATTCGAGTTAGACTGGAACTCATCTACTGAGTTATTGGTTGGTTTATGAATGACTTATATTTTGTGAAAAAATAAGTTTTTTTGATATTTCTAATTTATATAATTAATTTAGTTATTGGTGGTCTTCTTTCTGCTCATCTTCTTGCTAAACGTATGAATGTTTCTGTTAATTCTACATGGCCATGTACAGGACCATTACTTGATCTTGCTGTTAGTCTTGCCGATAAACTTTTACCAGGTAAAGAAAATAAAATTTAGTAATTCTATTGTAATTTTGTTTGTTTGTTCGTTTTTCTGTAGCTTTTGATACTGAAACAGGTAAATTGAATTAATTCTTTTGTTTTTTCTATTGACAAATATTTTCAATTTGAAGGAATTCCTTATGGTACAGTAAATTTAGTTTGGGGTGTACCAATTGGAGAAACAAATATTACATGTACTGCCGGTGGTGGAACATTTTTAATTGAATTTGGAACATTATCTCGTCTTACCGGTGATCCTAAATATGAACGTGCTGCATTAAAAGCTTTAAAAGGTCTTTGGTCAAAACGATCATCAATTAATCTTGTAAAAGAAAAAAAACAAAAAAAAAACAAAACATTTACAATATTCTATATATTTTTAGGTAGGAAATCATATAAATATTCAAACAGGTGAATGGACAGCATATGATTGTACAATTGGTTCTGGTGTTGATTCTTATTTTGAATATTTAGTTAAAGGTGCAATTTTATTTCGACAACCAGAATTAATATATATGATGAATGGTAAATAAAAATTAAATATTTTGTTTTTTTTTATTATTAATTTCCAAAAATTTTAGAATATATCAAAGCAATTGATGCATATATGAGTGATGGTACAGGATGGTTTGTTTATGCAAATTATCAACAAGGTAGAAAAACAATGCCATTATTTGCATCACTGGATGCTTTTTATCCAGGTTTGTTGGTGAGATACATTCAAATATATATATATATATCTGTATTTTTCATTGGAGATGTGTAGGATAAGATTTTGTTAACTGAGAAAAATTTTCTAAGCTTAAATCTATCCTGCACTTTTCTAATATTTATATACATTATTCTTATAATCATGATTGAAAAAATTTTGAATTTTGTAAGATAATTTTTATTTTTATTTAGACATTACTTGGTAAACTTGATCGAGCACGTGAAACTTTATATGCATATCATACAATATGGAGAAAATATGGTTCAATGCCAGAATTTTATAATCTTGCACAACATGATTGTGCGCAAGGAAGAGAAGGTTATCCATTAAGACCAGGTAGAAAAAAAAAAAATTCTTTTTTGTAATTATTCGATCGAAGATGTTTTTTTTTTTTTTTTTTTAGAACATATTGAATCAATAATGTATTTATCGAAAGCAACTAATGATGATACATTTTTATTTATGGCTGCTGATATATTTGATGCAATTGAATCTTGTTGTAAAACTTCATGTGGATATACATCAGTAAATGAAATTTTTTTTTTGTTTTGTTGATTTTTGATTGAAAAAATAAAAAATTTTTTTTTTTAGTTAAAAAGTGTAAAAGATCATCATCTTGATAATCGTATGGAATCATTTTTTCTTGCTGAAACAATAAAATATCTTTATTTAATATTTGATGAAGATAATTTTTTACATTCAAATGGAGAATATGCTACAGAACATCAAACATCTTTAGGTAGATTTTGAAATATTTATTTTTATTTAAATTATTATTATTTATATAAATAGGTTCATGTTTTCTTGATACGGGTTATGTTTATAATACAGAAGCACATCCAATTGATATTGGTTCACTTGATTGTTGTACATCATCATTTATAGATGAAAAATCATTGAATAAAAATGAAAAAAATTTATTGGTAAAGAATATCGAAAAACAAACAAACAAACAAAAGTTTTTTTTTTTCTTTTAGACACAAGAACAAATGAGATGGTTAGGAAATTTATTATTAAATCAAGATAAAGAAGAATTATCTAGTATATTAAAGAGAAATTATAGTCTATTAACATGTTCATCTTTAACTTTTGAACAACGTTTTTCTCTTTATGGTGAAATTTTAACATAAAAAAAAATTCTTTGTTTTTTTTTTTGATTTTGTTATTGATTTTATTTTAAGGGATAGTAATCATTTTAAAAAAACCACAAAAAAGAAAAAATAAAAGTTATTATTTGTTGTGTTTTTCAGATTTTTAATAATGTGGCAATTTATTAAGCGACATCGTCGCAAACTTTTTATTATATCATTACTTACTGGAGGTAAATTTTCTTTTATAAATGTAGAAAAATATCGAATTGATTAGAATTATACTTCTATAAAAGAATTTTTTCATGCAATATATATCGAAAGAACTATTTAGAATTTATGTACATCATCTATAAGTCTCAAGACGAATGAAAAAGGTCCGATTTTTTGACAGTATATCTATTACTATTTATTGCACTTAACAAATGGCAAATTAATCTTTTTCATATGTAGTATAATTTTTGATTCTGTACTGAGCGGTTAAGAAAGAATTTGATGTAAAAAAAAAAAAGATTTATGTTGTAAATAGTAAAGTGAACAACCTCAAGAAGAAATGACGTCAGACACTTCAATGTCCTTCATTCATGAAAATTTTCATCTTGAATAAAAAATTCAGATGTCAAACTGAATCGAATGACATGAACAGTTCTCTCAAATAAAAGAAAAAAAAAGGCGTTAGTCTGTCTACACATTCAAGGAAAATACGGAAATTTGCAATACAACGTTTGTTTTTTCATGTAATCGAATAATATTCATTCAGAAAGGTAAGCATTAGAATGCTGACTACAGTCACATATTGTAATTTAGTTGTATCAAGAACAACCTTCTGATGAAGTATATGATCTCGAGCAGTCTATAGTACATTACTAAATTACAATTAATAATGAACTATGATCATTATTCGACTAGAAGATATTTTTGAAATTTGTCTATCCTCTTCATTTTTTTCAAGAGTATTGTCTATATTATACCCCGCTCAGCAGGTTGAAGTCTGAATTTTTTTTCGAGATGAAAATTCTCATGAATGAAGGACATCGAAAAGTGCTAGACGTTGTTTTCTTCTAGGCTGTTCACTTTACTATTTACAGTATAAATCTTTCTTTTTTTTTTTTTTACATTAAATGCAAACTTATTTTTAAAATATTGTGTATAAAATCAAAAGGTGCATAAAACTCAACTTCATATTTGTTGGGTTCAATAAATGACGGATCTAAAAATCAGATATTAAAACTGGTACATACTGACTTTTGTCATTCGTCTTGAACTAAATAACGTCGGTAAGTAGATGAAATTTAATCTATTGAAGCTTTATTTTTTGGTATATTGCATGAAAAAATTCTCTTGCTTGTGGAAATATAATGCTAGTACACATCTATGGAACAATGCATTACTTTTCTATTGATAGTGAAGAGTAATGTTTGAAAAGTTGTTTAAGCCTAATAATAATAATATAAAAAAACGAAAAAATTTGAATTTCATGGTTTCGGATGAAGGCTTTTTGAATGTACATTTTTAAAAAAAAAATCAAATTTCGACGAATGCTTCTGTTGTGTTTGATCCTCTTGTAAGCGTTCTGTTAAGATTCATTAAGCTTTTTTTTCTTACATATTATATATATATATATTATTTTTGTGATATTCAGGTGGCTATGCAGCATTTCGTTTTCTACAAGGAAAATTAGCAAGAATGCTAAATGATCAAGATAAAATGTTAATGGAATGGAAAAAACAACTTTATTATGAACATAATCGTGATACAAGTTTAAGAACAAGTTAGTTGAAAAGAAAAATTAAATATTTATTTTTTCTGATGGATATTTATTTATTGTTTTAGGTACTGATATATTTGCACAAGTTGTACTTAATATTAATCGTAGATTTCAATGTGAAAATATTCTTACTCGATTATCAACAATATCTGAGTTTGTTATCAAATAAAAATATATATATTTATATAGAAACTTTTGATTTTTTGTTTTCTAGTTCAACAGAAAAACGTGAATTATGGGAACAATTAAGAATTGAATGTAAGTATAAAAATGTTTTGTTTTTTTTTTCGATAAAAATTAAATTTCAAAAATTTAGGTTTTGCTCGTTTATTTACTTTTGCATACAGTTCAAGTTTTGTATTAGCTTTAACTGAATTAGTAGTTAGTGCTTTAAGTGGTCGACTTTATTCTCAATCTCAATTACAACAATTATCAATAAGAGAACAACATACAACAACAGCTGGTGGTATATCATCAACAAGCAAATCATCACATGCTGAAGTAAAATTTAAATAAAAAAAAAAAATCTAAAATTAAAATCTTTATTTTATATAAAAAGTCAACTCAAGATCATAGTTCATTACTTTCACGAGATATTCAATTAGCTTGTCTCGATGTTATTCGTTATACAACAGATGCAGGTTAGAATTTATTTTTTCATTGATTATTTTCAAAGAAAATAAATCAAATCAACATTGTGATAATCAATAGATTATCAAAGAAAAAAGATTTTCAAAAACGTAATATAATATTACGCACGATTCATCATTTGGTGGAAGGTCGACGTTCTTGAATGAAAAAAAAAAAACATATAAATTCTTCATATCCAAATATTTATATTGTGATTAATTTACTGCAAAGAGAACAATCTTGAACATCGATTAGAAAAATATGAGAACTTCAATTTCAAAACGTCGAACTTATAAAAGATAAATGTTTATTAAAATTCTGACAATTTCATTGTTCTTGAATACTGCTAGAATGTTCATTTTTTTCTTTCTTCGAAATAATCAATAAATAGTAAAAAATTGTATAAATTTTTGAAATCATTTTTTGTTTTTAGGAATGAATAATTTAATTGATGATGTTCGAAAAGCTACTCAATCAATTCTTTCAAGGTAAAATATTTATTTTAAATTTATATTTTCAAATTTATTCTTTTTTTTTTGTTTTTTTCGAATTAGAATTCCACTTCAACAAATGCTTGATATCAATGATATAATATGGTATTGTAGTGAAATTCGTCATCAAATTGAAAAAAAACGACATCAATCAGTTAATAATCATTATCCATTACTTAAATATGTTCGATCAATTTCACTACCATCAAGATCAACACAACCAGCAACAACTACAACATCAGCTTATTCATTATCAAATGTTATAACAACAGTAAGTTTGAATATTTTTGTATTAAAAAGAATATTTATAAATAAAATAATAGGCTAGTTCATTGATTACACAACGAACACATTCACCATCATCAGTTTTTAATGTTCAACAACAATTTGAAATTGAATGTATTGAAATGATTGAAAGGTTTTTTATTTTGTATTTTTGTAGAATATTTAACGAAAAATTTTTTTTCTTCTAGTGAAACATTTCAACGTGTATTAATTCAGATAATTGATCAAAGTTTTTCAAATATTTATGATGAATTTGCTCGAGAAATGGCTAAAACATCACCAGTAACAGTTAATTCATTAGAAAATAATTTGTAATAATACATTGAAAAAAATTTTTTTTTTTTGTTTTGTATTTGACAATTTGTTCTGTAGAAACGATTCAACAATAATTCATGAGATACAATTACCATTTGCTAAAATAGTTCCAATAAGTAATAATATTTATACAAAATTATCAAGCCATCATGAACAACTTATGCTTCATTTTCAGGTCGGATGTTTTTTTTTTTTTTTTTTTGTTTTTCAAAAGAAATTTTAGATTAAATTCAATTTCAAAAGATAAAGAATTTTGTTTCTTCGATTTAGGAAACGAATTTTTTTTTTCTTTTCATAAGAATTTGTAACTACTATTAAATATAAAATATATTTTATTAATTTCAAATAGGAATCAATAAAATAAACTAATTTCTAGAAAAAAAACAAAAGACTTGTATTATTTTACAATTCTTATGAATTTTGACTGTAGTGTTATGAAATAAGAAGTTTTGTTCTTAAGAACTCATCATGATTTTGAGTAATTTATAACTCTATAAAATGAATTAAAATAAAATCAAGTTTCTATCATAAATGAATAGCAGAATAAGTCAAACGTTCAATATTATTGAGATAAAAGTTTTAAAAGAATTTACATGAAAATTCATAGGAGTTAAATATACATCCTTCAATTTTATTGTTGTGTAAGTCATAATAATACATTGATAGCCGAACGTATAATTAGTGTCAGAGCTTTGCATTAGATTTCACGCTTGTCAAATGTCAAAAAAAAAAAATTTCGAATACATTTTTGCAAAAGAAGTTTGTCCCATTGTTTTAGTTCATTTTTTCGTCGTTTGGTAAGCGAAGTATTACGATGAGAGATGTGCGAAATCAAGGTTTTTTTTTTTAGTAACTTCGGTTATGACTTCAGTAAATCGAATCTTATCCCCGTCATGATAATTTTAGGTTTTTTGAATCTCGGTTCGATCTAGAGAAAACAATACGAGAAATCTTTTTTTTGTTATATTTAAAAGATTCTTCATTTTCATTTATTTACTCAACGACTAGTACTATGTAGGTCATCTCTCTTGAATTATGTTTTCATTGATACCATTTATAAGCAAAGAATATCTTAATTACAATCTTCAGTTCTCGATGAGACAATTTTTTTCTCATAGTCTTAAATCCATTCACCATAGCTTCTCTTTTTCATGATCTTGATGACTGAGACTAGAACTAAAGTTAGTCTCGTATATTTCTAATTACCATCGTAGGTGATCGGATAATCGATTTGTGGATCGATATTAACTGTGTATGGCACAATAAGATACGATCATAATACTTCGCTTACTAAATATCAATTTACAGCTAGTAGTGTTTTTTTTGCCGTCTCCACGACTGTAATTATTGTCATGATGAGCTAACTAACTTCTTATTGAATATCAATTTTAGATTATTTCATATTGATATAGTCGAAGTAAGATATTATAAACTATTTGATTGAGTTATATATTAAGTTATTTGTAATTTTAATGATAGGAAAATAAAATTCTCTATCTTTTATCATTGATATTTAATATTTGAAGAAAAAAAACAAACAAATTCAAATCTAAATAAATTAAGAGTAAAATCTAAATAAAATTCTTTTATTTTTAAAGAGTCTTGCATGTCGACCAGAATTACATGAATATACAAAATATGCATATGATTTATTTTCCAATGAGTCATTACAATCAGCAAATCGTACAGCATATTCATTTTTACCATTAGCATCATCAGCATCAGCATCATATTTACAATCTAGTTTATCATCATTTTTACAATCATTAATGTCTCCATAAACTGATTAATTCGTCATTTACTTATTTATGAACATTTTCAAAATAAAAGTCATTTGTCTGTATTAAAAACATTTCGTTTCTTTTTCTTTTTTCTTTTTTTTTGTTTTATTTAAGTTGGACAACGAAGAAGAATTTGAAATTTTTCATTTTTTGGTACACGATTAAGTATAAGACGTCCATCATAACTAAGAGATGCTAATAACCAAGGATCATTTGATGCCCATTGAGCTGTATAAACTGATTCTTCATGTTCATCAAATATACGTACAAGACGATCTTCATTTACTGTTTCTTCTATTTCTTCCCTATAAATAAATTCCGACAAAAAAAAAAAGGATATAATTTTTTTTAGTTTTATGATAAAATATTACTTTGCATCATCAGATACATTTAAACTTCCATACGGTTCTGATGATAGACTCGCTATATTAAATAGCATAACACGAGTATCACTACTCGATGTTACTATAAGTTGATCATGAAAACGATTGTATCGTGCTGACCATACCCTAAAAAAAAAAATTTAATCAAATAGATCGAATTTTTCAAAAATCTTTATCCTCCTCCTTCCATTTAAGACAATCAGTTAAACTTATATAGTTATAGTTATTTTGATTCTAAATAGAATGAAAAATTTTAAGGAACATTAGACAAGGTAGCATAAGATATTTAATTAAAATTATTTTGCATCTATTTTAATAAAAATCATCATATATTCCATTTATTAAGATTTGATCATATAAGATCTAATCTTTATATTTGTGAATCAAAATATTTTACTTAAGAAAATAAGCAAAAAAAAAAAAGTCTTACCAATGAGAATGATCAGTTAATATTTTTAAACATTCATTAGGTTTTCGTACATCCCAAAATTTTACTCGACAATCATCTCCACATGTCATAAAATGATATTGACGATTAGGATTATAATCAATATCACGAACATATGGCGGATGAGCATTATCAATTGAAAATGAACATCTAAAACAAATAAATTATTTTTTTTTAAAAAAAAAACAAAACAAAGTTTAACTTCATTGATCGTAAATCCCAAGCACGTATATGAGGTCCAAGAGTAGTTGTTAATTGATTAGTACTCATATGTGGATTCCATCGACAACATGATAATTTATGAAGTGCACCACTTTTTGAATCAATTGAACCAGTTGATAATATTTGTGGTGAATCATGTTGTTCGATATTCCATATATAAATATTTGTTTCACTTATTGTTCCAATTCGTTCACCATTTGCTTCCCATTCAACACTAAATAAAATATCGTATTTATTCCAAGTTATTTTTTCTTTCCTCTTTCATACTCAATTATATTTGAATTAGGAATATTTAAATCAAATCTTTTTCGTAATGGTTGATGAAGTTGATTTGATGATTCATCAATTATTGAAGAAGTTGATTCATCATTTGTAGAATCTATTGGAATTTGCCATATTGTACATTTACTAACAACATTTGAATCTTTAACTTAAAAAACAAAAAGAAAAACTTTATTTAAAATAATATTCTAAAATAGAATTTCTTAATCTTTTTTGTTTTTACTAGTTTGATATATCGTTGAAAAATGACGATGATCATTTGGTGATGAAGCCATACGCCAAATTTCTCCAGCTCGATGAGCATAGATTGACTTTCCTAATATACCTGATTCTTCATCATATTCGAGAAAATGAACCTGAAACAAAAAAACAAATGAAGTATGACAAAGAAAATCTTATTTGTCTTTACTTGATTTTCAAATTTAATTGATTGAGTACCAACTAGAAAACGAACTGTATCATCATCTGGTATACCACTAACTGCACATAATGCTCGAGCCTATTATAAAAAAAAAAAAAAAAAGAAAATATTTTCGAAATCATATTTTATTTTCTTACTTGAAATTCTACACCATAAATCAATGGTGCTTCATCATCATCAACCATTTTGTTTGATATTGATTTATGATAGTTGATCAATATCTGAAGAAAGAGAACAGAAAATAATAGAGTAAAGTTTTTCTACTTGTACTTGTTTCTTTCTTCCTATTAAATGATTGTCTGATATTGTCATTATAGTCGTTCTCTAAATAAGCCGATTACTACGACCGCAAACGAAAAAGAAAGAAAAAAAGAATATACCGAGAGTATTTCTGTGAATGTACAATTATATACGAATATAAAAAGAAAGAAAAGAAAAAAGAAGGAAAGAAAAAAAGAAAAGAAAGTTGAACAAATGTCTCGATACATATTATATACAGGTGATGAACTTTATTCTAGATTTTTCATTCTTTCTTTCATTGATTTGATTATTTATTGATGAATTACTTATCAAACTACATTTTATAATGACTAACAAGGATAATGAATCTTCAACAGATACGGTGACAACTGACTCAAAAACCACATCATCATCATCTGAAAATAATCCAGCAATGTTGTCTACCGTCTCATTAAATAATTCCACTAATGAAGAACAATCTATCCAAAATACTACTAATGATCAAAATAATAGTGTTATTGAAAAAGATTCTCAGGATAATCAATTAGTTGAAGTTCAAACAGAACGACAACAACAAGATGAACAAGAACAACAAGAAGTCGAAGGTGAAGATGATGAATTTATTCGAATAACTGCAGCTCATCAAATGTTAACTGAAGGTAAAAAGAAAACGAAAATTTGTTTTTTTTTTTCTTCTTCTTTTGAATATTATATTTAGCACAAACATATGACGAACAAAAAAAATATCCCGCTGCATTACATCTCTATCGTATATGTGTTGATCTTCTTCTTGAAGAATTAATGTTTACTGAAGGTACTGAACAATCACGTGTTTATTTACGTGAAAAATGTACAGCTATTATGGATCGTATTGATTTACTTAAAACAATGCTTGATCCAATCCCACCATCATCATCACCACCACCAATGCTTGAACAAACAACATCACCAACACTAATGCTTGAACAAACAGCACCACCACCACCAACAACAACAACAACAACAACAATAGATGCAGAAGCAACTAATCCGCCTACTGACGAATTAAACTCACTTAATTTATCTTAGATCTCTAGAACAAAAAAAAAAAACAATAAAATAGCTAACAATATATTCAGGTCAATCGTCATTTGTGTTTTTTTTTCTATTCAGGAACATTCCATGTATTAGTTAGACAAAAAAAAAACAAACGCTTCTTGTTAGAATTCTTTTTTTTTCTGTTTTATTTCATACTTTCCCATTTCTTGCACGCTTATTTTGTGTATATAATAAAAAAAAACCAAAATCACTAGCATAACAAAATGAGAAATAAAAATGCACAGACGTAGAAATCAAAACCAATAATTATATGTATATATGTGATGGATAACTTCAGAGATTCTTGAAAATAACAGAAAAAAAAAAAGAAATTAAGACGATATAGAATAAAAATGAAGCAAAATCAAAGGGAAACATCATATATATATATATGTCGAGTGCCTCGCTTGTATTTTGAAAGACAGACATAGAAAAAAAAAAAAAAAAAAAAAAAAGAAAAGACAAACAAAACAAAATGAATCACAACTTATTGTGCACTCTGGGCAAAACAAGCATCATTGTCATACATTTTTAAATATAAACGATCAATCTTTACCAGAAAAAAAAAATATTTTACCACAGGGGAGAGGGGGGAAGAAAAAAAAATAAAAGGGACAAGGAAATGATAAAAACAACTAAATATATTCACAGGTGTGCTTCCGAAAAAGTCTTTCGTTTTTTTTTTGTATTGAGCCTTGTAGCAAGTATATATGTGATCATATCAACACACAACACATTATCATCAATTTTTACATAGCAGCTTGGACGGATTGACGCTAAAAGAAATATTTAATTAAATTCAATAGATAATATGAATATTGATAAAAAATTTACCCAAATATTGAGAATATCAGTTATGGTATGTTGAGGAGGTAATTTAAATAGATAAGAAATAAATAATGTTGAAATTTGTTCAAAAAATGGATGACCATCTATAAAATAGATAAAAATCAAATAATTTCTTTTTATGATTTATATATTGATAAATTTATTTGACTTTAAACTTTTCATTTATTGAAAGAAAAATGTAATTGAATAAGTTTTATTAACATTATTCATTATTAGGCTTCAGACAAAAAAACAAAAAACAAAATAATTAATGGATTGAACATTAATAACTTGAACGGATTCTTATAGAAATTTTTATGAATGTTACATTATATTTGCTATTGTAATTATTTGTCTTAAAATTTTATAAAAAAAGAAACAATGTCTCTGTTTTATAATGTGTATCTGACAATTCATTGAATCCAATGTCTGAATGCAAGATGAATAAGAAAAATTTGCATTTGAATTCAAATTGAATCAAATGATTTATCATTTGAAAATCTTTCTTCAAAAAAAACAACAACAACAACACACGTCCTTATTTATTTAAATGGTTTTATGATTTATAATTCTTTTATTCACTAATGAAGATTTTAATCGAATTCGATCTCAATCAACTCAATTCCTAACTTGTAATATTAGCGTTGACACTTTCAATTTAATTCATACAGTGTTCCACACACACCAATCAGAGTAAAAATGAAAGAAAAATTTTGAATTATAAAGTACTTTCGTCTGAAGAAGTCAAGATCATTAAAGATTATATTGACAACATGTAAATCAGATTTAGCATAAGCTTTCCTTGAAAAAGTTGTTTATCATCTTTTTTAGATTTATGATGAAGATAAAAGATTACAATCAAGGTTCTGTGCATTAATATAAGCTTCGAAGATACTCTATTTGATTTTATTTTATAAATGTCTTTATTAAATGTTCTGTTGTTGAGAAAAAAAAATCTTTTTATTTACCTGTAAATTCAAGTTTTGGTGGCATTGATTTTGTTAATGATAAAATTTCTGGTTGTTCTTGAGGATAACGTGTTGAAATACGTAATCGTAATGATGGTATAAGAGGATTTGATGGTTCTAATAATTTACATCGAACAATAATACCATTTTTACTTAAATATTCATCAGTTAATTCATTATTTTGTATTGTATGTGATATTGGTAAATATTCAATAAGAAAAATATTAGCTGGTAATAAAATAAGTTCATCATTAATATGAGATAATAATGATGATTGATTTGATGAAGAAAAATTTTCTGTTTTTATTCTTATTTGATTTGAACTATTATCATTATCAAGACGAATTTTTCTATATAGAAAAAATAATTTAAAAGAAAACAAAGGTTTTTTTTTTGTTTTAATCAAATATAAATAAAAACTAACTTATGTGGTACACCATTAATAACATCACTTAATGGTTCAACGAATAATTTACTTAAATAAAGTCGTTTTCTTTGATCACGTGAAATATATTCATTAAATGCTTTTTCATATTGATGAAAATCATTTGTTTGTGTAGGTGTTGAATTATTTGGTATTGTTGTATTTGGTAATAATGAATTTGATTGTTGTGATCGACTCTAAAGAATTTATTTTTTATTATTAATTTTAAAAAAAAAAATATTTTTACAGAAATTCGTTCAAGATTATCGCGAATATGTTTTGCATTTGTTAAACTTTCATAAGTTGGATTATTGATAAATTGAACCATTTGTTGATGAACAGCTTGAGCATTACGAGCTTTATCTAGATGACCTTTTTTTTTTTGGTTTTCAAAAAAGAAATAAATAGAAGTTTTTTTTTTTATAAATTTATTTGAATTACCTTCATTTGCATATTTTTGACATAATGCTTGGATTTTAACAATATTTTCTTTAAGATATTTTATTAAATTAATAGTTTCTTCGTCTGGACTTGAAATACTACCACTAGCTGAATAGAAATATATACATATATAAGATTATTTAGTTATTGATTTTTTGTTTTCTTTAATATCATTAAGATATAGAAAAGTTAGATAAGAACAAAAAAATCGATCAATCTTTTTCTTGATTTTCTATTGCAATCATAAAATTAATCGATAGGATTTGTTTTGAACAGTATTTATTTCTGTTTAATGTACATATTCGATGCTTATATATATATTCATCAGTATATGTGAAAGCTCATCGATCAATATTTCGCGAGAACTTAATCTAATAACTGTTTTTAAATGAACTGGAAATTACTAAAGGATTTACTTTATTTTTATTTTTTTCGAAGGAGAGATTATTTTGAAATGAGATATTTAGTAAACTGAGTTAATGTAAAATATGATGATAGACTGTTTTAAATTCAATCATTAGAAATCAGATAATTTATATCAATTGTCAATGTTTGATATAGATCTATTACAGTTCTATTAACACATTAGTTTGATGAATTCATTTTCGAAAGTTATAAAACACTTTTTTATGATATAATTATTTAATTGGACAAGTGACAATCAAAATAAATATAATTGATACCATCACAACTATATGAAAATAATATAGATTACAAATTTATTCAAATAAAAATAAAAAAATAATGTTTAACTAAAGAATTATTTGATATTGAAATGAATAAAAATAAATTGATTAAGATCAAAATTAAACTTTTATAAATTGATTATATCAAAATTTTAACTTAAATTAAAAAAAAAATTAAAACATAAAATATTAACCTGATAATTGTACTGAACGATTGATTGGTGATGAATGATTATTAAATAATGGTGTTGAATTATTCATTATTATTGATGATGGTTGTATCATTGGTTGTGAAAATGGACCATTATTAGTATTTAAAGGACTTTGTTGAATAGTGATATTAGTAGATCTTTAAGAAATGATTAAAACAACTTTCTTTTTTTTTGTAATAAAGAAAACTAAAAATTTTACGGTTGAACTTGAACATTTGATGTTTGAGCTTGAGCTGTTATTGGCATTACTGTAATTGATGGTAAAGGTGATGGTTGTTGAGGTGTTAATGATGATCGAAGGGAATTTACACTGTTTGTAATATTACTGTTCGTTGTATTAGTTGTTCGAATTTGTTGTGGCTATGATAAAAACAATTGTATATATAAAATGGTCAATAGAACATTATCAAAGTTATAAACAATGCTTTCAATTAGAGTTTATTATTTTATCGAATTTTTCTATAGCAAATCAGATATTTATCAGCTTTTAGCGAGTCAAAATTTTTTTCTAATTGTTTATTATTATACTTTAAAAGTTCTATGTATAATTATCTTTAAAAATTATATATTAATGGTAGAAAATCTTAATCTCTGATAAAGATCATTAATAGAATAAAATCTGATTAAAAAAAAAAATAATAATAATTCGAGAATTTTCTCCGAAAGGATTTAAATAAAAAAAAAAACAACGAATTTATTTTTGAAGAAAAGGAAAAAGATTCTCCTTTAATATACCATAATCGATGGTGTTGATTGTTGTAAAGATGGTTGTCGATTTTGTATAGATATTTTATTCGCTGTTCCATCATTATTAGATAAAAGTATTTGTTGTAATACTAAAATAATAATAGAATTTTATGTATAAAAAAAAAAAAAGAATCAAAATTTTTCTCATTAGATTACACTAACATCGATCACCGGTTGAAGACGTATTCGTTACTGGTGTTGCCATTGATGATGATGATGATGTCATTGAATTTGTTGGTGGATTTCCAACAACAAATTGATGTAAAATATCATTTGCATTATTCGATGTTGATATTTGTGATAAATTTCCTAAAATATATAAAAAAAACAATTTTCATTTATTTTAATTATCATAAAAATAAAATCAATTTAATTATAAACCATTAGAATTCGTTGCTATACGAGGTCGTGGATTTAATGTTTGTTGAATTGAATATCGACCTTGAACTATTGGTTGTTGAGATAAATAATCATTTAGATTTACATTATTTATTTGTTGTTGAGCTGTATAATTTTGAGATAAATCTATTTTTTGTGCTGTTAATGGTGTTGAAACTGAATTAAGTGATGTTGATGATGTAAATGGAACTGTATTAAGAGATGCTAGAATATACAAAAAGAAAACACACAATTAAAATGAGAAACATTTAACAGAAAAAATAAAAATTCTACATTGATTGAATTTTTGTGGGTCACGTAATCGTACAACTTGATTAAGACCACCTGTTTGTGGACTTGTCATACGGGATTGTAATGATTGTTGTGTCGGAGAAAAACGAGTTTGTTGATTAAGCATAGTATTCAATGGATGTTTTGATTGTGTATGCATAGGTACTGATGATGATTGAGAAAGATTCAATTGTTGATTTAGATATTGTGCATTATTATTTAATGATTGTAATGTTTGTTGTTGCTGTGGTTGTTGTTGTTGTTGTTGTTGTTGTTGTTGTTGTTGTTGTTGTTGTTGTAATTGTAATTGTAATTGTTGTTGTAATTGTTGATGCTGTTGTAATTGTTGTTGCTGTGGTTGTTGTTGTTGTTGTTGTTGTTGTTGTTGTAATTGTAATTGTAATTGTTGTTGTAATTGTTGTTGCTGTTGCAATTGTTGTTGTTGTTGTTGAGCACGATTTTGATATGCATCTAAGAATTAGTTAAAATATATTAGTTTTATTTTTAACTTGCTTTTCTATCCATTATAAGTAATACAAATAGCTTCTAATTTTAGCTTCAACTAGAAAATTGTGTCATTTAATTAATATGGTAAATGGTTTTTATCTATTTTATTATTAATAAAAAGTCATGTGTGTTTTTTTACTTCTGACATACAATGAATAAGGAAGTAGGAAATACTTTAATCAACCTCGATAAACATTTTATGAATTTTAAAATAATAACACTTACTTTGAACTTGTTGATAATAGTTTTGAACAAATTTATGATAAATAGGCTATGATAAAATATTAATATTAAATCCATTTTCTTTTTTGCGATTAAAATATATTTACTTTAACACCACGTGATTTTTCATATGCAAGACTTTCAACTCGTTTTGACAAATCTACAGTCCATTTTGCAGTTCTATATTTAACAAAAAACATAAAGAAATAAATACATTTCATGAATAAACAAAAAAAATCTGTTTCTACTTACAATTTTTGAATCAAAGCTTCTCGTTCAGATTCTGTTACTAATACTTGACCATTAGTATCTATTTGCTGTTGCACAGCTGTATCCGTCATCATATCTAGTCAAAAAAAAAACAAAAAAAAAAAAAATCTGTTCTTAGCTTCTCAACAAGAAAAGTGGAATGATTAAGAATGAAATCAGCGATTTTTAAAATAGTCTCTCAAATAGGAAAAAGACAGAACATACACAGAAAGAAAAAAAACTCAATGGTAAATGATGACAAAGACAATAACGTATACTTAACAACACATGATGATAAGAGAAAGAACGATAATCTAGGAAGAAAAGAAAATATAACCGACAAAGAATAAGGAAAAAAAGAAAGCTTTAACGACAGAAAAAAAAAACACACGAGAGACAAGATTAAATATCGCAAATATTATATACACACAAAAAACAAAAAATAAAGAAAAAACAGAATTTAAGATAAGTTAGCTAGAAAATTTTTGTTTTGGAACTGTATTTTTCTTTTGTAATGATGGACATTGTGCTTTAAGATGTTCAGTACTTCTACAAATATAACATTCTTTCCTATGATGATTAGATTGATATGAACGATGTGAATTATTTGTTGATTGTTCTAATGAATTATTATATTCTCTTGATTTTTCATTAGTTGTATATTGAAAAGGACGTTGATTTGGTGGAGCAGATTTTGGATGAATATATCTATTACCATTATTATTATTATATTGTACATTATTTCGAAAATTATTTGTTGTATGTGTTAAATGATTGTTCATATAAGATTGTTGTTCATTATGATTAATTGTTCGTTTTTTCTTTTCATTTTCATTAGCTAATGATGCTAATTTTGGACAACGTTTTCGAATATGATATGGACCTTTACACCATTCACATCGTTTAGGTGCATTTGTTGGACATAAATCATCAATATTAAATAATGTTTCCTATTTAAATTTAAATATAAATCTTTATTCTATTTAAAATAAAAGATTTTTATTGTTTTTTTTTCTTCTCCATATACAAAAAATGTTAATTCAATAAAAAGACTGTTGATTGTATTATCTTATGTCGCATGTTTATTAGTTCTACCGATGGTAGCCGCTTATAACTCTTAGATCAACCTATAAACGATTGCAGAGATTGTTTTTTCTACTCGAATATTCAAATTAATCCTAGACGAAAATAATTTCAGAATATATTTTATCTCATAATTGAGGAATAATGATTTAGGTTTTTATGTCTAATATAGACGATTTAGATGCATCGTATATTATATCAATAGTATATATTCGGTTCGAATTATATGAGATATTTTTACCTCAATAAGTGACATATTTGGACCTGTAATATTGATATTTTCAGGTTGTATACCAAATTGTTGACGAGCACGAATAAAAACTCGACGAATAATAATCCAATCTAAAAGAGATTATTCTCTTTTTTTTGTTTTTTTATTAATTTCAAAAATAAAATTATTTTTTTTTTTTTTTTTTTTTTATACATACTTCGAGGAGATAGACCACCGGCTAAATTATGACTTAATTCAAATGGATCTTCGATAGCTATTGTTTGTCTAAGCCATCCTTTTTCATGTTTTAATAATGGTTCAATTTGTCGAATAGTTACAACATGTTCTTCATAATTAAATTGTTCTGTATAAAAACGTAAAAATTCTATCCATAATGCACCAGATGATAATTTATTTTCATTTTTCCAAATATCTTTCTACACACACACAAAGAAAAGTAAAATTTAATTTTTTATAAAATTTCAAAAATAATATTATTTCTACATACAAGTTTAGATAAATCTTCATAAAAATAAACATTCCATTTTGAACATTTTTTATGCATTGAAATTTTATTTGTTGGATCTTTTAACTAAAAAAAAAAATTGTTTTTTTTTGTTTTTGAAAAAAAAAAAAAATTAAGTAATTAAAAACCTGTTGAAGAACGGGTAAAACAGCCGGTTGAATTTGTTGTAAAAAATGAATAAGCATAATAATATATGCATAACTGGATAATGTACCTCGACTTGCATCACCAATATAACATAACTAAATTTCATAGAAAAAAATTTATTTATAATTGTTGTTGTTTTTTTGTCAACATCGGAATTTTATTCTATAGTAAACAAATATTAGAAAATTGAAAAATTGTCTTATTTTGTCTATTTGAAGATAATTTGATAGAGAGAAAACAAGAGATCAAGAAAAATAAAAATGAATTTTCAGATCACAATATCAATTAAACTCATTAATAAGGTTTTTAACAATCGACTGAGATTCGAATAGAAATAAAAGAGTGTTTCATAAGTTTCGGTTATTTTTCATTTTAATATTTTTGCAGTAACTATAGATGAATAGCAGATATATTCATAGAGCAGGGCAAGATAAGATCTTATACCCTGGAAACTAGAAAATAAGGTTTTCGAATTTTGATCCTGAAAAGGAACGTTTTTTTTCCAGTCTTTGACAGTCAAAAATAGACTGGCGATGGTGACACCAACTGGTATTCAAAGTGTTCCTCTATAGACCTACGTTCTTTTCTGCTAAACTAAATACGTTTTCATCTTGTCTTGCCAGTCATTGCATATTATCTTCAAATTTTTATAGTGCTAAACAATAAAAACACAATTGCTATTTTGAAAAAAGATCAAAGTTTTAGTCTTGAAAATAATAGTTTAATAAAAGTATTAACGACTGGATGATATTCTTTTGAATATGTAGTCATTAAAAATAAAAGGAATAATTTTACACGTATCAATGATTTTATCAGCTGTTTCGAATGTTATTATACGTTTCGGTAGAGATTTGCAAGTGGAACAAAGCACTTTGTAAAACACGCAAAACGATACTTTCAGAAAGTCGAGAATATGATGATAGTATAAGGAAAAGTAATGAGCCTTATCAATATCTCTTGTTTGCATTTGATAAGAAAGAAAAAGGCAAAAGAACAAGAATGTTAGTTTAGCATTACCATTACATTAACTTAATGCTAACAGCAATACTTTTGTATAATAGTCCTAAGACAAAAACATCGCAATTTGTATTGATAAGTGTAATGATAAACTGAAGTCAATATTTCTGACTAATTTCAATAGTTTTAATACAAAAGTGTTGTAGCTACTGTTAAGTCAATACAATATTGTATTAATTTGGTTGTAACTATAATGCTGTTGTATTAAAATTGAAAGAGAAATTTCCACTGTTGATAATTGGATCCTAAGTAACTCATATTAGTTATCTTGTTTTCTTTTTCTTGAATATTTTTTCAAATGATGTTAAATAAAATAATGTTCTATGATACAATTAGAAAATATTTCTTTGTTTTGCACTACATTGAAAATTACAATATAGACAATATATCAATTCAGCAGATTATCTTGTCCTGTCCTGTTGTGTGGAGATCGAGTAGGACAAGGTGATAAAAAATCCAGTAAACATGTCTGGTGAACAATCATTGAAATATCGAAGTTATCATTCAAAATGTATTACACTCAATCTGTATCTATAATAAAAAGATACTTCGATTGGTAAATATTTGTTATTCTTTGTTAATTAAGGTTAGAAAAAAAGCAGCAGCTACTCATTGATTAAATCGCTTTTGTCATTCTATTATTATTGATTTACGTGTTAAACTAGATTTAGCCATTGGTGTTTATTTTTTGTAACATTTTGGAAATAAAGGTGAATGTGGTATTTGTTACATGATAGGATAAATGTCATTCTTTATATATAAATCTTCAAAACCTATCCGTACTCACGTATTTCACATATATATATGTAGAAAAAAAAGTGAAAATGTGATCGAAATCTATGAAACACCCTTATTATATTAGACAAATAATTGCATAATGTCAAGCCTAATTCTAATGATATCTCGTATATTCTTATTTCTCCATATGTACACGTCTGTTTGATATATCTTATTCTTTGATGGTTTTTGTACTTATTAACTAATCTATTAACCGTGTTTACTATTATGATTCGAGAAGCAAAAAAAAACAACGTCTATATCGTTGCTTGTAGATATACAAAGATAATAACTTTGCACAAGACAAGCAACTGTTGGCTACTGAAAATAGGAACATTGTTAAGTTTTTCTTCGTCATAGGCTCGTTTTTTTATTATCATGATTCTCAATGGTTTTTAGAAATCCATGGAATTTAATCTTTCAATATTATAAATGATTTCTTTTCAATATGTTAAAAATGTTATCTTATTGATCTTGATAAAATACATTTTTTAATATCTTACTTTTGCTAAATATTTAATCATATAACCTAATTGAGATACACGTGGATCGATATCAGTATATGTTTTTAATAATCGTGTATTTTCAATAGCCTAAATAAACGAAATATTAATCGATAGCAAAAAATAAAATTGAATAATAACTAACAAGCATATTATGAAGACTAATATCAATTGCAATACGCCATTGTCGATGTCTTGTTCGAATAATTGGTACTTTAGCTTGAAGTATAGGTCGAACATCATCAAATGTATTTGAAGATTTCATTGCGCGTAAAATTTTTTGCATTATTCTAATAACTTCATCATTCTACTCAAAAATTTCGAAAAAAAAACAACATTAAAATAAAATTTGATCAATCACAAAAATACAAACATTTTGTTCTCGTTCATCTTTAAATACAATACAAACATCTAAATCACTTTGATGAAAACCAAAACCATTATAATATGAACCAAATGCATGTAAATTACAATCAGGATAATCTTTTTGAAATTGTCTTTCTAATTGATTTAAAATTTGTTGACGATTTTCTATATCATTTTTTTTTGGTTTAAATCGTTCTAAATTTATTTTTAAATTATAAAATTTTTTTTTTGTTTTTATCATATTAATTAAAAATATATTACCAGTAATTTGTCGACAAATTTTTGAAATAATATCAATCCATTGTTCACTAATAGCTGGTAAATCAATCATATTTGGAATAATTAATTCAGGACATTCATTTTTTAAATGTCCAACACCATTACAAGTTGTACATACATATGGAGCACCCTATTTTTTTTTTCAAGAAAAAAAAAATTCATTTGTATCATTAGAAAATCTTTTTTTGATTTTTCTAACAAAATTCTAGTTATATATTTGTTGTAAGAAAAATTAGAATTCTAATATTGACTAAACATTTGAAATATCTATGCGCAGGATGGCAACGCTGCCAGCGCGATGGTATGAGCGGCGCGGGAGATGTTTTAAAATAGAGCACTGCAACCCGCGGATCAGGTGCCCGTGCCCGTATGGGTGCTCTACCCGAGTATGGATACGAGTACGGGTTAGGTATGGGTATGAAACTCAGAGGTACGCGTAGAGTACGTACTAAAAGTTGTACCCATGCAGTACTCTATTTCAAAAAGACTATCACGACAGCTCCTCTTTTAGGAAGATTTTAAAATTTCATGAATTTGTATCTGATTTGAATATCTACAAGTTCAACAGTCAGAACTGAAATTTCAGTTTTGCCTAGGTAACATTAGAATCCTATTAGGAATAAACTCATACAATAATATATGATTAGAATAAATTTTTTGTCTTTTCATTCAACAATATCTTTTCATTTTATTAACAAAATATACAAGACAAAAAATATTAATCTGTGAACTTATATTTATGCAATCACCTTGCTTTTAATGACATTTTGTCAAGCACTTGTATTTACAATCACAAGTGCGACTGACTATTGAAACCAATTCAGACATTTTTTGTTTTATTAGATCATAATGTGTACATCTATATTTAGACTGCTTACCGACAAGGTCGCTACAATTATAGTTTTCTCTCTTTGTTTTTTTGTTTTCATTCTATTCTACTGTTATTAAAGCAACTGATTAGATGAATTTATCTTTAAAAGAATTCTAATTTTGTCTACAACATATTTTTTGTTTCTTTAATCAGATTGTTTTTAATGATTATTGAAAAAAGATGATTTTACCTGTTCAGCATGAAAATTTTCAGGTCGAAAATCATAAAAAAGTTCACTAGAATTATCTGTACAAGTATTATTGTCATTAGTTGATTGTTCATCATTAATAATTTGTTCAAGTTTAATTGGTGATATAAATGCTGATGGAATTTGATTATTATTATCATTATTCGTTGTTATAGAATTTGTTTTAATATTTATTGGTGATAAACAAGAAGATTTTGTTGTATTTTCTTCTGTTGAATGTAATTCAGTTGAAGATTCAACAACATTTCTTGATGTTTCTTCGGTAGATAATGGTGTTTCCAAATTGTTATGTAATTCTTCTGCTTTATCGTTAATTATATTTTCTAAAACTAAATTAATTTTAATACAGATTGATTAAAAGATTCGACTATGTTTTTTCTTTTCTCTAAAATTCATATGGTATTTTTTTCATGTTTACTACAACATTTGTTAACTTGTTTCTTCTTTTTTTTTTGAGATTCTCTTTGTAAAATATGTCTCTGATTTATTTTTTATTGATATAATTGTTACTATTATTATTTTTATTAGAATTTTTTTTTGTCGTCATATGAATTTTATATACCTGGCTGAATATCATTCGTTATTGTTGATAATTCATCGTCATCAATTGATTGATCTTCTCCGTCAATTGTTGGAGATTCTTCACAACTAAAAAAAAAAGATCATAAATGCTTATACAAATGAATTATATATATTCCTATTTGCAATAATATTTCGTCTATTAATAGAGAATATTGAGATATTTATATATCTTCTCTTTTCTTAAAATATTTTTCATAAACTCAATCTTTTCTATGCATAGACAAAATATCTCTTGAAATAGTATTTTATCTTAGAAATAAAAATTATTTATTCGACTAACATTGTTTCTTGTTGTTGTTCAATATTAATCTGTTGTAAACTATCATTTAAAATTTGTTCATCATCATCATCTTCATGTGATATTAATTGTTCTAATAAATGTGAATGATTTTCATTTTCATCATCATCATTTTCATCCGTAATTTCAAAATTATTTTCAAGATCATGTTGAAATGCTTCTTGAATATCATTATCAACTGAATTATCATATTTATTATTTAAAGAATTCAATTGAATAATTGCTTTTGATAATTTATTATTTTCATTATCAAATGTTCGTTTATAATATTCACGTACACGACCTTGTTTTATATTAATATCACGTACAATTGTTGGTGGTAAATGTTTATAAAATAATTTATATGAATTATGTAATGAATTTATTGGTTCATTTGTTGGTATATCATCAGGAATAATTTCAACAAAATCATCATCAGTATTTTCAATTATATGTTGATTTAAATTTAATTTTTTCTTTTGTTTTTGTTTTCGAGCAAAATAATTTAATGAAGCATTTAATGTACTACGAAAATACTCAATTGAACGCATTGATTGCATTGTTTGACATAAACTTCGTTTTATATCAGTTGGATCTATTGAAATAAAACAAAATATAATTATTATTTAATGCAAAATTCTGATAAGAAAAAAACAAATAGTTCATAATATAACAACAATGCAGTTTTTTTTTTCTGTATTGTTTAAAGAATTGAATAACTCGAATTTCATCGTAGATTTCCAGCAATTGTTGAAAAAGTATTGGTTTAAATTAGACACAGTCCTCATTTTTACCTAGTCCTTTGTGAGAATGTTAGTCATACAAATTAATTTATAGACTGTGATTACCGTCAAAAAGTAACTCTTGTTTCTTGAAGAATTTTTCTGTATAGATAAGTGCCATAATATTTCAGGATTGATAATTTAGTTACAATTAAGAGAATATCTTTACAATTCGTTATTTTATATGATAAAAGACATTCAATAGTAAGCAATAATTCTTACATTAAACAATTTAGATATCAAGATTAATGAGTAATTAAATGAAAGTACATTTGATTTTTGTAAGATTCTATTGAAAATGATTACTTTTCATATAATCGAATAGATCAATTCAAATAAACAACAGAAAAAAAAACTCAAGTTTCGGAGTATTTTTATTTGAATCGGTTTGTTCTATTGTACTTTTTTTTTTGTTTAAGTTTATCGACATCAAAATGTTTCTTTCAAATCTGATGAAACAGTAACAAGTTATTTTTATTTTTCAAGATAAATTTACCTTCAACAAGTAATTTTCTACTACGCCAATTTTTATCAATTTTCATAATTGGCATTCGAGTTTGTATTGAAACAACAAATTGTTTTGAATTAAATGTTTTAACATAATATGAAAGTAATTGTAGAAAAAGCATTTCAACACTTGTTGTATTTTTTGATTTCCATTCATAGGAATATTTTTCACAAACATTAAAAAATTCTGTATATTGATTTTCATTTAATGTTATTGGCACACGATCAATTCCATAAGCCTATGAAATTAAATATTTGTTCTTTATTTTCTTTTTCATTCAATATAACAGATGATTGGAGAGTTTCTAGAAAATGTATTTCCGACAAGTTAAAAGCTAATTTTTGTTCGAAAGTAGTAAAATAATCTTTGATTAACCCTAAAAAATTAGTTTAGATGGAAAATTTTTGTATTTTAACTATTGGAATTCGAAATTAAAACTTAGAAAATTCATTAAAAATAATTTTTCAAGTCATTCATAAAATTTCACAAAACTAGACCCAACATTTATTTCTAAGTCCATATTCAAATTCTGTTTGCGATCTAATGTTTTTAGTTCATCTGAAATGCTTTCAAGAAAAGTGTGGATATTGATGTACTACTGTTTTTGAAAAGAAGACCTACACCATCTTGTTCTAATTCATAGGTTTTAAAATACTTCTTTCTAGCAGACCAAATGTGAACAAACATCTTGTTTAAAAACTCTCCGATCATCTATTATTAAAAGAAGTCTTACATATTCATGAAGACATGGTAGAATAGGTTGATCAAGTTGTTGAAGAAAATGAATAACCATTATATGAAAAACAACTGGATGAAGTGTTCCTAATTCGGGTTTGTCAATATTGCACGTCTAGAAAAATAAATAAATAAATTATTTCCTTTTTTTTTTAGTAAAAAAAAAAAGAAATTAATTTTAAACAAACTTTTGTAAGTATGCGAAATAATCGAAGTAATTTAATAACACGTTGATCAAATTTAATATAAAGTCGAATTAATTTTGATAAATACAATCCACGATTATAACCTGAAGTTATTTTTACACGCATATTTGGTTCATTTGTTATTAAATTAATACATGATGGTTTATGTTCAGTATCAATTTGAGCTTCTTTACATAAATCTATATATTGAAATTTTATTTTGTTTTTTTTTTTTAGAGAATTTTATTTTATTTAATATACATACCACTTTTTTTTATTAAATCAAGTAATTCTTTAAGTATATCATATTGTGATGTTTCTTTAAATCGTATATCAATATCCATAACACCCGGTTTTTCCAAACAACATTCAAAATATATAGAACCATATAAATTTATTTGACAATCTAATTTTAGAATACAAATAAATAATATTTGCAGAATTTAAATTTTTATAAAAAGAATAAAATAAAAACAAGATATTAGTTTTAAGAATTTCAATATAAACGATTATTATTTTATAATTTTCCTATTAAACTTTATTGACTCGTAAAAATTGATTTATTTATAATTAAACATAAAATTTCGAAACATTCAACGATTGATTTCTGTTAAATTGGTTTATTCTCTATGAATAAAAAGTTTACTATGTATGCGTTGTCTTATTTGTCATCTCATTTTTTTTTTCAATTATAAGCATGTAAATTTTTTCATCTTATATTACCTCTGTACTGTTCCGCTTCAATACTTCAAAGAGAAAGAACAGGAAAAAAATTTGTACTTGATGAATATGTTTTTTTTGGTCTTTATGATAAAAGGAACAAAATGAAGATAAAAGATATGAAAAAGATGTCTTAAAATATTAATTCATTTTACAAAAAATTCATACATAGGATGAAGATGAAAGACTTTAATGAATCGATTTTAAATCAATCATATTCTATACTTATATTATTCTGATTAATCACTTAAATGGAAATTACCTGTTCGTACTTTCGTAATAAATTGATGTAATTTTGTAAAAACTAATTGTCGTTGGTTAAGACTATCATAAGATAAAGACCGATCTGTAAGAATTTTATTAAATGTTTTTTTTAATGCTAATAAATGTTCAGATGTTGGTTCACGAATATCAATTGTTGAACGTTCATGATCAATCTAAGAATTTGAAATTTATAATAAAATTTGAAATTCATTTCTTTCGTCATACTTTTTCTGGTGATGAAATATTACCATTATTAATTCGATCATCATCAATACGATCTATTAGAAATTTAAAGAATAATTTTTATTAAATAAAAAAAAAAGAAGTTTCTACCAAGATTTTCACGATCAAATGGTTTATTTTTTCTTCGTCGTTGTGACATAGATTTTTCATATGGTTTTGATGTTAATAATGGTTCAGGTTTTAAACATTCAAGTAATGGTTTTGGTGTTGATTTAATATTTTGAATATGATTTTGTTTTTGTTGTTGACATGAATTTGTTTTATTTTCTGTTGTATGATTTGTTGTTAATTGTATTTGTGGACGATGATTTTTGTTATTTTTTTCTGCATTCAATTTAACTAAATCACTTATTGATTTACAATCTACTTTATGTTGACTTTTTTTCGGTTGATCATTCATTGTTACAATATATATTTATTTATTATGAGTCAAAATAAAAATCTAAAGTATATAAATATAAAAGATTTCAAAATTTCGCAATTGAAAAACGAAATCTTTTATATCTATTGTTTTACTATTGATCACTTGCCCATGAGTCATATATAGGTTGTTTTTTTATTTATTCATTGCATGTGTGAGAAAGTGAAAAATAATAAAAAAAAAGAAGATAATATTTTATATTTCTTCTTTATAATATTAAATATTCTTTTAGTAATATTTTAAATAAGTCTTCCATTATTTTCTATATAGGAAAAAAACAATCTAATGAATCAATGTATGTTTAAGAGAAATTTCCTCGGAAGACATTTTCTTAATAATATGTTGCGCACTCTCATTCCTGTTCTATGTTTGCCAACTTAACGCGTTCTCTTTTTTTCGATAATATAAAACCAATAAGATTGAAAAACAGTGACATCTTTCATATTTGATTTTGAGAATTATTTATTTAAAAATTTCTTTTTAATTTAAAATTTTGATGTAGATGAGTAGATTTTGTTTTCAACAAAAATAAAATTTTAATTTGTTTTTTTACTATTTGAAATTTAATAAGAAAACAATGTATTTTATAAAGTTTATGAAGAATATTACTAAGTAACTAGAAAATGAAAGAAATGAATGTATGAACAATTGATGAAGGTAAAGATCTAGACAGTAGAAGGAGAAGAAGAAGAAGAAAAATTAAAGAGAAATGAATTCATCATCCAAACGACAATTACCAAATGTAAACTCGGAATCAACTGAAAAGATTCGTCATTTAAATACAGCATTAATTGTAAGTTAAAATAACAAGAAAAGAGAAAAATTCAATTAAGAAATTGACTTTTTCTTTTGATTAATTTAGAATACAGAAAATAATTTACGACATGCACAACAAAATTTTGAATTATTAAAACAAATTCAACAACCAGCATCAACATCTTTATTAGATACAGTAAATAATTATTTATTCTTTTTCATTAAATTTTCTTTTGCTTTTTGTTTTTTAATATTCAGTTTCGTAATAATGCTAGTACTAATGATGGACTTCTTTCAACGAGTGACTCACGTAAATAACTTTTTTTTTTCATAAAATCATTAATATTTCTATTTGAAATATAAATAGATTATGATCAAGAACAAACAACAATAGGTTCACGACGTACAACAACATCATCATCGAATCATCAACGAAGTAATAGTAATAAAGGTGTTCGTTTTAATGATGATGTTATTGGACGTTCATTACATAATTTTAATAATGAATTACAATCATTATCAAATGAACATGGAAGACTTAAACATGAAATAAGTAAAACAACATCAACAAAACATCAACAACAAAAAGAATCATTAGATTTGTAAGAGAAAATGTTTTGTTTTTTTAGATAATTAATTTTGAATATATTGAATAGAAATGACAGTGATGATGGTGATATAAATGACTCATTTCTCTCGAAACAAGATCCATTGGTTGAAGAGGTTTGATTTTATAATTTCTTTTTATTTTTTTCTTTAGAATTACATCATAGTTAGTTCTATCTGAGCTTTTAATAATGCATGCCAAATAGGAATGCTTAACATTCATGTAATTCTATTGCGTATACACTTACATAAGGAAAGTTACAGTCACATATACCTATGATTGTTATGTTCTTGAGAAACTATTGTGCTCATGTTCCAATGTTCTTGCAAAAGATTATTCATTTTGTGAAAGAGAAATTCTTTTAATAAGACAAGACAAATGAGATTTCAAGATGTATTCCTTTATCACTATGCATAATATTAAAATTACTTCAAACGATTTTTAAGCATTGTACGAAACAATACAGTTCTAATTGTTACACTTAATGTTTTATTCCCGACAGTAGTCTCAGAAGAGCAACTAATACAATAAATTTTATAAATAGATTATTAGCCTGTCTAATATGCTAATGATGTGGTTTAATATACCGATTGTTCATTTGCTTGGTGCAATGACCGTGTCATGGAGAACGGAGATTGAACGACATTCTGAGTCTTGGTTTTTTTTCTTTGACCACTTTATTGAGTAGATAGCAAAAGCAACATCAATTTTATGTTATTGTAATAATAGAAAAAAGAAAGAAGTGAACTGATAAACATTAATTCTAAAAGAATATATATGTTTTTTGACACATCTTATTAAATAAGCATCAACTTTGCTTTGAACTATTTTATAATCTCTGAAGATATTTAATTCATAATAAATATTATTTCAATTTCTTATAAGTTGAGATTTATAATACATATATTAACATTGTTTTTTCATTACTCTTCAACTGTCCAAACCTTTTGAAACATATCTCCGAAAGATTTCTATTGAGTGTAGGTAGAGAACATTTTGTTTCGAAAAATTCGAATTTGTCCATTTTCTTCAAAATTACCGATTTTGTGTGAGAAACGATGAAAAAAGATATTCTCTTGATCAGTTAACAGCTCATATAGTTCACTACAAAAAAAAATGTTTTTATCATTTTCAAATCCTACGCTTTCTTTATTTTCTGAAATCGTTCCAATTCATTGACTAACGGAGGACAGAGGATTAAATTAGTAGAAATGAAGAACAGTTCTGACTAATAATTCATTTTCTGCAAGAATATGAAGGAATAATATGGTATAATGAATATTCTTCTTAGATCGTTCAATCACGTCTTGATCGACGTTTACAAGAAATCGAACGTGAAATAAAACGTGATAAAGATCAACAACCACAAGGAGATATTCGTGTACTTATAAATGAACTTCAATCACAACGAAATTTAACAACACCAATTCATAATGAAGAGGATAAAATTTTGCAAGCTCGACTTTTACTTGCTGAATCAAATAAACAAATGGTTTGATTGTTTTTTTCTCTTTTTGTTTCTTTTATTATAACTTATGAAGATCAATTTTTTTATATTAGTATGAATCTCAGTTACAAAATACTAGAAGACAATTAGAAGAAAGTGAAATTAATAAAAGTTTATTAGCACAACAGGTAAAAAATTTTGTCTTTTGAATTTTTATTTCGATAATAATAAATAAATTAAACATCAACTTTTAAATTTATCAACTGTAACTGAAGGGAGGCCAGAATTTTGGTCCGGGACAAAATTCATATCATTGCTCTCGATAAAAGATACTCAAACTTTGATGAACACTTGTTGCATTCCATAGTGCTGAGCAATACGCAGGCCTCACAACGCCGCCATTTTTCCTTCTTTCCTTCGAATCTTTGTTATTCGTTGTACATGTACACTCGATAAATAATCCTGGTTTTTTTTCATTTTCGCTACTTTTTGAGAAGATCATCAAACAGCAAGAAAATCAGGATTATTCGTCAAAGCTAAAACGAATAACAACGATTCGAAAAAAAGAAGGAAAGAAGAAAAAATGACGGCGCTGCGGAGTCTGAGTACGCTGTAGTGCTGAGTAGTACGATGTACTGCTTAGCATTACGACGTACTGCTCAGCACTACGGAATGTAGCCACCGGTTATAGAAAAATGGCTTCTTTTTTAGGGATTAATGAGAGGAATTTGGGCTAGGGTCGAAAAATCACCGGACATTCGGACCGGCCAGAAATTCATGTAACCCGTAATTGAATATGATGATTGTTAGCTTAATGTAGTAGTAGTTTCATCAGATTTTAACAATTTTCTAATCGAACTCTTTTAAATTATTTAGGTAGCACAACTTAAAGATCAATTAATTAGAACTGATTTAGGACGTGATAAACAAAGAGATGAAGAATTATCATTATCAGTCAATCGACGGCGAAGAACAGGTTTGATTTTTATTATTGGATTAAACTTAAAGCATTGTGTAGAAATAAAAAAAAGAGAAAAAAAGAATACATTTTAGAGTGTGGCTTGTGAAAAATAAATATATTCATTGCCATAAACTTAAAATTTAAACAATTTCTAAGTACAAAAAAATTGACAAACAGTATATGAAATCACAGAAAGAAATTATTAGATTAAAAACTTCGATGGATTTAATTTAAAAAGAGAAAAATTTCACTAATAAAATTCTTCATTTCCATAACTGATCATACATTTCCAATAGAAAATGATGATTTCATTCTTTGTACAGATCGAAAAGCGCATTTTAAGATCATATTATGTTTCTTAAAACAATCCGCTTAAGGTTGCCTCCCTCCAAAATCGGTTTTCGATACAATGCATTGGGTTTTCATGAAACTTTCTGAATATGCTCAGCTAATGAGTGTATATCAATAAAAATATTTTCGCAACTACAAACCTTACCATTCAGAAAATTTCCAGGAACCAAAGTGCAAAATAGGGCTTTCGTACATTTCAAGCTATAGCAATCGGTCTATTCTCATTGAAAAGCGAATCCCTTGCTGGTTCGAATGAAAGAAAGGTTGTTTATTTATTTTAATTTTATTTCATTTTTGTGGTTTCCAAAACCTCAAAATTCATCTCTTTCTTCCATTCAAAAGAGAATGCATCAATCTATCAAATAAAAATAAACTTTAAAAAACTAGATACCTTAGAGTTCATGTCTATATGTTTATTTCAAAAAGTGTGGTTTTTTTTTTATGGTGGATGAGGAGAGAGAGGAAAACGGTCTTAAAAATAACATAAATGATTATTCGATATATTTATAAAGATTTAAATATTTTATATCATATATAGAACAAGATCGTCTTCAATTAGAAAATGATTATTTAATTCAACAACAAATGATGCTTTCAAAATCGACAACATTAAATGAAATGGTTACATTTAAAAAAGAACTTGAGAAAAGTGAACGTCAACGTGAACAACTTTCTGATCATTTACAGGTTAATTTATTTATTTATTTTACTAAATTAAAAATTTTTTCTTTCGTTTTTTTGTTTTTGGTTGTTTTTAAAGGTCTTAACGAAAAAATGTGATGATAAAGAAAGAGTTGTTGCAAAAATATTACTTGAATTAAAAGAAATAACAGAAAATTGTGATACATATGAACAACAAAATACAAAATTACAACGTGATTTAACATTAGCTTTAGAAAAATTAGAAGAAATGACACAAGAAGCTGAACGTTATGCACAAGAAGCATTAAATACTCAAAAACAATTAGCTGAATCCGAACAACAACGAGAAGAATTAAAAATTCAAGCACAAGAAACAATTAAACAGTTAAATTTTTTTTATTAATTTATTTTTTTTTTTCGATTTTCGTTTTTTTAGATGGAAAGCAAAAGTTAAAAAACTTGAAAAAGATGTTGATCGACATAAATTTGGTTCAACACAAATGTTAGAACGGAATGAACAATTAGTTAAAGATACAGAAAATATTAAAACACACAATCTTACTTTACGTGAACAAATTACAAGACTTGAAACAGATTTAAATGATGCAAATGTTTGTATTTATTTTTTGAAATGATACGAATAATCATTGCGCACTTCATTCTTACCATCTATTAATGATGAATCAAATCAGTTAAAGATAGTTTTCAGTCGTTTTTTGACTTCAACTCAAACGAAAGAAAATTAAAATCATGAAGCTAGAATTGTCATATATAGAACTAGAATTTTCTGTGTAGGCGTTTTTCTGACAATAAGATTGTCAATTATTGTAAGAATATACTGTAGTCACAAAAAGTAGCGCTACCAGATGAAAACTATCTAAACCTTAACCGTTTGGGCTAATATTTTTACCATAAATAGAACTCAGTGAACCCTGATCGCAGGCACCAGCCCGACCTCAGTCAGTTGATGTATAATGGAATTAGTAGCTCAATCGTATCATCGTCCTTATAAAGACCATAAGCAAAAAATGTGATGCCAGAATGCTTTTGTTTATAGTTTTACGGTACTACAATTTATTTAAGTTTTTTTTTAGTGCTAAATGCAGTTTCCTATATCTAGTGTACTGAGTCAAAAGCTCACCCCATAATATCGAGATCTCATTGACTGGTAAGCTGTGCCGTGATGAAGTATTTTGATGACTCTATCTCGACACTACTTTGAGCTGCGGTTCTGTAACTTTTATCAAGAATTGCTAGGCTCATGAGAACTCATGGCTAAAATTTTCAAATGAATCAGTCAAGGTTAAGTTGAGTTATTTGACATTAGACTGAAACTAACACTAACCGCTTGGCAGGCGTTTTCAATACGAAGAGCATATCTACATTAATTCAAAGTGATTTTTTACCAAACTTTCACAATAGATAGTGCTGATGTTGAGTTTTTGAATGAGGGGTCGCGCGAAATTGAACATCGAAAAATGGTTGAGATACGGTCTTTACAAAAGTATGATACGATTGTGCCACTAATTCCGTTACACATCAACTGATTGAGGTCGGACTGGTGCCTGCGATCAGAGTTCACTGAGTTCTATTTATGGTAAAAATATTAGCCCAAACGGTTAAGATTTAGATAGTTTTCATCTGGTAGCGCTACTTTTTATGACTACTGTGTATGGAACACACAAATTTTTTTCATGGGACTATAGTTTGCTGTTTCTTCTTACTGATTATTTCGATAAAAAAGAAAGAAAGTGTACATATTATTTTATTTGCTTTCTTGTCTATAATAAGAAACTGTAGAAGTAATGTCATACATTAATAGTATTTTAGTCTTGACTGATGTATTGATTTTCTCAACTTCACTTGATAATCTAATTTTCTTTTTGGATATAGATCTGATCCTTAGTTTCACTGCTGTACACTAAGTATAGATGTGGTATTGTATTTTTTTTATAAATGAATTATCTATCGAGTAGGAATTTGTAGCTATTACAAATAAATCAAAGAACATTCTGAAAAAAATGATAGGCGCAAGGTTCATGTTTCTACTATCTTAAAAATCTTTCGACATTTTTCGTTGACTTCTGATTATATGAATAATACTTCATATCTTAAACCCTAAAAGAAATTGCACAAAACTTTCTTATTTCTTATATTTTACAATATTATCTAATTAGTAATTTTACTGAAAAACTTCTTTTTTATATTGTTTAGACAAAATATAATCGATTAGAAGAACATTTCAAACGAAATGAAAATGATGTAAGTTATACTAGAATTATCGAAGAAGAGAAAAAAAATCAACATTTTATTTTTCCTACTAGCTTGTTCAAATTCGTTCGAATCGTTCAACACAAGAAGCAGAAATAGCAACACTTAAAAGTTCAGTTAATGAAGTAAATATTATCTTTTATTATTATTATTTCAATGAATATATATATATTCTATTTTCATTAATAAAGCTTGAAAGTCAATTATCTATTTATCGTCAACGTTATTCACAAATTGATAAAGAAAAACAAAATATTCAACAATTATTACAAGAAGAAATCAATCATCGAAATAATATTGATTCAAAATTAAAACAAGCTGAAGTTAGACAAAAAAAAATTGAATTATGAAAATCTTTCATTATTTTTATTCTTTAATTTTAGCAAGATATTGACACACTTAATGTATCTCGTTCTCAACTTCAACAACATATTATTGAATCGGAAAATGAACGCATGGTTGAAATATTTTTATTTTTCCATTTTTTCATAAATGATAATATTTTTCTTTTAGGATTTCGTACAAAAAATAAAAGAAATTGAATTCGAACGAGATTCATTATCTATTCAATATCATTCTATTTCAAAAACATTTAATGATGTATGTTTTAATCTTAATAAAATCTTTTTGATGATTTCTTTTTTTCTTAAACAAAGGAAAAAACAAAATTTCAAACAAAACTTGCATCAAATGAAAGTGATTATGAAGAAATGAAAGTTAGTTTTCATCATCAAATTAATCTCTTGACAAAAGAATCTATTCTTTTTTTTGTTTTCATTTAACTAATAGCGTAAGTTAGAAACAGTCAAAATGGAATATTTACGTAGTATGAAGACATTTCAAGTTGATTATAAAAATAAAATTGAAACACTTAAAGTATAACAAAAGAAAATAATCATTTAATAGAAATTAATTTTTTTGTTAATTTTAGTTACAATTATCTGATGAAAAAGCTCGAATAGGAATTTTTCAAAGACATGAAATTGAACATAAAAAAGATATTGAAAGACTTCAAGAAAAAGCAACAAAATATGAAGATGAAGCAACACAAGCACAATATACAATTGAAACAATATCAAGAGAATTGAAAGAAAAGGTTTTATTTTAATTAAAATAATTTACTTTTGTATTTTTTTTGAAATTTAAATATTTATTTTAGTCTCGATTAATTGATGAATTAGAATCAAAGTATAACGAAATATTTATTATTATTATTTTTTTTTTCGTAATAACAAAACCAAATGTTTGCTTGTTTTTTTTTTCTCTCTCTATTAGACTTATAAAATTAACAGTTGATACAACAAATGAAAAAAATGAAATTATTAAAAAGGAAAAAGATTTTCAAGTAAATAAAAAATAATTTTACTTTCTTAGATATAATTATTTTTTTTTTTAGAATTCACTTCATACAGTTTATAATGATATTATCTATTGTACAGAATGTTTATCAAATGATTCTGAAGAACCATTTATTATTGATTCACCAACTAGTTCTCGTGATGATATTGAAACATGGTTAAGTAAAGTTAAAGTAAATAATTCAAAGAAAAATCTTTTCTTTTTTGTTATTTTTATTTTATTTTATTTTCAATAAAAAAGGCTCGTCTTGCTTGGCTTAAACAAGAATTAGAAATTCGTCAACAACAAGAAAATAAAGTTCGTCATGATTTAAATAGTGCTTTACTTGATAGTGATGCTGATAGAAAATATTTTGCAGCAGAATTAGCTAAACGAGAAGTTATTATTGATGATTTATCACGTGAAAAATATAGTAATATTCAAAAGAATCTTCTTTTCTTTTATAAAAAAAACTTATTTTTAGATTATCAAGATTTTGAAAGAGAATCATCGGATAAACTTAAATTATTAAAAGTAAATATAATGAATAGTTATATGAATAAATTTTAATAAATTTATTTATTTTAAAAATAGAATCAACTTGTAAAAGTAGAAGGACATTCATTGAAAGAACTTGAACGTACAAAACAATTACAAGTAATTGAAATGCAAATTGAATATGAAAAAAGACGAGCTTTAACTGAAGTATATTTATATTTTTATAGAAAATTTTTGTTATTTTAATATTTATGAATTTATTTAGGATGAAAAAGATCGTATCAATGAACGATATCGACAGTAAGATTCTATGAAAATTAATCTAACTAATTATTTTTAATTTGGATTTGATTGACAATTAGTTTAATATTTCTAATATTGTCATACTCTATGAATTCAATTGATTAATCTTCTCTCTATAATTTTGATTTTCTTTCTACTAACGTAACTGATAGATTAATAAGAAATTATTATATATCACCGAAGATAATCATATTCTTATTTGAATTATACTAAACTAACAATTATTTTAAATGTGTATATGTATGTTTTCTAGGGAATTTCTAAAGTAAAAAATATAAAAAACAAAGCTTTTAATATTATTATATAATCGTTGGAGAATGCTGCACATTTTGAATTAAAATATTGAATAGTGTTTTATATATTAGTGCACATAATAAAAATTATCGATTGAATGCTTGGCTCTCCCAATTCGCTTGTTTATTTTTTGTTATTAGTATTGTTTTATTTAGTAACGAAATATTAAAATTATTAACATGTTTATTTTAGATTTCAAACAATGATTGATTCAGTTAAACAAGAATTACATACAGCAAAAGTTCAACTGTCGACTAAAACCTTATAATAGTGAATCTCATGTTTTTGGTCTCATTATCAATAATCTTTATCTCCTTTGGAGTGGTTTTTTTTTTTTGATAGCAATAACTTTATACTTTTTTTTTTTTTATTTCTTAGTTGTAGTATGTCTAATCTCCTTATTTAATTTAGAACATTATCTTTTATTCGAAAATATACTTATCTGATGTGCTGTTTTATCTCAGAGATCATTTTGGAAATAAAATTTTGTGAAATTGTTAAAAACAATATTAATGATTGTTGATAATTCAATAGATAAAAATCATTTCGAAATTATGATCAAAATTTCAATACAATGAATTTAATATTCGAGTATAGATGTTAGAGAAAATACATATTATAAGATATAGAATAAAATATTTTATTGTTTAGTGATTTAGTTCAAAAAAAAAACATTAGGATAAATCATTGACGCTTCATAATCATCTAAATTGAAACTTTCGGATGAAGAATAGTTTCAGTAGATAAATGTAATTCATCACTAGTTTGAGTTGAATGAAAAGAAAAATGATGAAATAATATCAATAATACAACTCTTTCTTCAAGTTCAGCAAAACATTGATCTATGTCAGTAAAACTAAATCATTTATTTATCATTTGAAATGACATTGAAGTGAGAAATTTTTCATTTACAAAGACAATATGAGAATGGAATATATGCAAAAGGTGAAAACTCATATTGATATAAGATTCTGATCAGTAAATCATTCGGGATCGAACTTTTCAGGATTAGGAAACATGTTATTATCATGATGAATATCATATATGAAGATGACAATATTGGTACCTTTACAAATTGTCTGGCCAGCTAAAATAAAACTCAACCAAGTTTGATTAGCACTTGACTTTATATACCTGAATTTCCAGTTCAATTACATAGGGCAGTCAAAAAGTAGTAAGATAATCTTTGAAAAGTCCAAAAAATTAGTTTGGACGGAAAATATTTTCGCACATTTTTGTATCTTCGCGGTTGCAATTCGAAACTAAATGTTAGAACCTTTATTAATAAATCAGCCTGTGAAGCAGATGATACCCTACAAAATGTATTAGTTGAGGTTCTTTTTCTTTTTTGATAAGACATCTCAATTTTCATTTTTCTTAAATCCTTATTTTGGGAAAAATCGACTTTTTGACCAGAAACTACTTTACTTAGAAAAGAGCTCTTGACAAAATGCCTATAACTTCACTTGACTAAAAGTGATAGCTTAGTTCAATACCACATTTTTTAAACAAGTCTTCGTTCTATAAAACAATCAACTTCGACAAATCTTAGCATCTTTGGAAAGAAACTTATAGAGGTCAACAAAAACCTATTGCTGCATCATTCAAGCTAATTTTTAGATCTTTCGAAGATTATCTCACCACTCTCGAACAAAAACTAAGACAAAATTTCTAAGCTCATATTCGGAAAGAGCACAAAATTCTGATCATAACCCACAGATTTTGACTCGTTGAAAATACTTTCAAGCAAACTAAAAATGAACAAACATTTTGTCTCAAAACTTCCGACTCACCCGTTGGTTACTTTTATCGTATCTCTGTGAAAATTTGATTTTATTCTACTTAGTTTTTAATAATAATTACTTTGCACTTAAATGAATACTTTTTTAAAAGTGAAATGATTGTATACATGTAGCAAGTGTTGACGTCGCATCAATTATTAAGTTTGTCTATACATATATATGTATGCAGAAGTGTCATTCTTTTTTTTTCCTGTTATCTATCATCAGAAATATAGATTGTTCATTATCTAAGGAGACTACTAAAAAAATAACATTTAAAATGACATCAACCACTGTTAGGGAAAAAAGATGGCTCATCTGTTCCTTTATTTTTTACTAAATCGAAAATGTCTTCACACACATGTAACAATTAAGCCACATAACGAAGCAAAAAGAAAAGAACAAACGCGCACTTATATATGATCACACGCATCGAGGATTTTTAACGAAAAGAAAGAAATGATGATGTATGATCGAAGATATCACATCTCTCAATAAATGATATAGATATGTATCATTTTGGTTATTCAGTTGATTGGCTGGGAGCAACAGATATCAGTCTATGTATTGGCTTCATCATTTTGTTAAATAATAATCAACATGTATTTATTGAACATCAAAGTGACATTTATTTTCCATCTAAATTAAACCCGGACAATGTTCGTTCATGTTTTAAAAATATCGCTAACCGTGTATCTACAGCATTACCTGAATGATGAGTTACTAACTACCCCGACATACTTTAAAAAGCATACGACGAGCGCTCGAAAATTTGAAATATATATTTTTTGTTCGTTCTGTTCTGATTTCGAGCCCCTCGGCAACCATCGGATTCCTACCACTCGAAAACTGTATCCTATCGGTAATTCATTTTCGGCTCCACAAACACTGTTAATCCCTTGATACTCATCGAAGTTTCGAGTACGCGAAAAAAGAAACATATCGAAAGCGTAATATCGAGTGTCCCAGTAGAAATAAGTCTAGCAGAATGACAATTTCAAGCGGTGAGATTATTTTTTATTTCGTGAAACTTCTTCAAAAAGTGATTTACAAATGTTTCTTTCATTCAGGTACCTTAGTAGGATGATAATTGTTCGACATATATTTTTCGTAATTTCATGATTTTCTAAAAAATATTTAACATTAACTAATGAAAAATAACAAGTAAGATTGTAATACATAAGCACTTTTGATGAAAAACACAGCTCTAACAAATTTTGCATTTTGAATATTTGAAAAATTTGTACATGGCATCTGAGACTCAAAAAACAAAACCTTTTTTGTAGTTAGAGGCATGCAAAAGATGTTTTTATTCGATCAAAAAGTTTTTTTTTAATTGTCGAAAATTGTTAACAAATGTTAAAATAACAATATATTTAGTTTAGATGTTCGACAAATGTTAATCGTAAGTATCCATGTTCGAATTTCCTCCTTCACGTTTATTCCATGGGTTTCGACGATTCGAGAATGAGGCATCTATACAAAAAAAAATCTTTTTTATTTTGATCCTCTCAGTATAAATCATTCGGCTGATCGAAAACTATAAACAATTACTCCCTTGCATATCGTCTGACAAACTAAACTTGACAGCGAGAATCAAATTTTTAAGGAAATTTTTTTCTCTGTGAGATTAAATATTGAATTATTGCTTACTTTGGTAATACAATCAAAATAACCAATTTGTTGAATATCTTCCATTGTACATGATCTTTCTTAATCATCTTTAAAAATATAAACAAAAATAAATCAAATAACTTCAAGAAGGATTGAATACAGATAGTTACCACCAAAGTTTGCATCCATTCCAATATCAACTTTTCTTTGAACATCTTGATAACATTCAACTAAATAGCAACAAAAATTGATTGCAGTTGTAGTTGTAACATGACCTTCAAATATAAATGTATTCACTTCTTCTTGAATATCATCAAATGAAAGTTTTTCATCATGGATTTGATCAATAAGACTATCGAAAAATAACAAGACGATGTATTTATTTCTTCTCTTCATTTTTATTTATTATATGTTCAGAATTCAATGTAACAAGGTGTTCTTTAATCACTTTGATCGAAAAATAAAACTTATTTTTGAAAAAATAGATGAAATTAAACAATATATGGCAAGAATACATAATTGTTTATTGAATATAAGCATCAAATTATGTAATAATTGAGTATCATGAAATGAAGATGTGATTAAACGACAACGATGACTACACTATTTTTAATTTTAGTTTTAAGTCAAGGTTCAATAAAAGTGTAATGAAAAGATTTAACAGGTTGTTTACTATTATTAATAAATGATTAACGAGATAATAAAGAAAGTGTTTACAAACAAGAAATAATCTAATGTACATAACCTCTGTTGCAAAAGTCTTTAGACAAAATGTTCGTTCGTTTTCCGATCACTTAAAAGCAACTAGTGCGAGTCAAAAGCAGTTAGTAAGACTCAGAATTTTGTGCTCTTTCCGAATATGGACTCAGAAATGTTGTGTCTGTTTTTGTTCGAGAGTAGTGAGGAAATGTTTGAAAGGCCTAAAAAATTAGTTTGGACGGAACGGGTGTGCCGAAGTTTCTGGACACAATGTTTGTTCTTTTTTGGCATGCTTGAAAGTATTTTAGACGAGTGGAAAACTATAGGTTATTACCAGAATCTTATGCTCTTTCCGAATATGCACTCAGAAATTGGATGTCTGTTTTTGTTTGGGAGAAGTGAAGGAATCTTTGAAAGGTCTAAAAATTGGTTTGGACGACGAATAAACAGGGTTTTTGCTAACTCCCATAAATCCCTTTGCGAAGGTGCTAAAAATTGTCGGAGTCGGTGATTTTGTAGAGCGAACACTTCTTTACAAAACGTGATATCGCACTAAGCTCTAGCTTGAACCTATAAGCATATTCTCAAGAACTACTTTCTACGTAAAACGCGCTTTCGTCAAAAAGTCGATTTTCCAAAATGAGGGTGATACAGAAAAACGAAAATTTAGGTACCTTATTGGAAGATAAAAAGAAAGTCAAATAGTGCGTTTTGTAGGGTAAATTTTGCTCTACAAGCTAATCTATCAACAAAAATTTCAACTTTTAGTTTCGGATCCCAATAGTGAAAATGTACGAAAAAATTTTCCGTCCAAACTAATTTTTTAGGTCTTTCAAAGATGTCCTCACTACTCTCGAACAAAAACAGACGCAAAATTTCTGAGTCCATTTTCGGAAAGAGCACAAAATTCTGAGTCTTACTAACTGCTTTTGACTCCCACTAATTGCTTTTAAGTGATCGGAAAACGAACGAACATTTTGTCTAAAGACTTTTGCAACAGAGGTTACTTCAAGTCCTTCGCTAGAACATAAAAATATTCTCGATGTTATTCTAATCCATATACAAAAAAGACCTTTGTCTTAATATTGAGATTATTTTGCCAATTGTGACTAAGTAATTCAAAGCAAAATATGCTACTGTTCATCGAATTGACATATATTTCTAATAAATGAAATCGATGAGAGAGGGAGAAATGATATATTTCGATATTCTTTTTGTATTTATGTAAGTTGCAGTACAGGGGATAATATGTAATATGCAATGACAAGTAGTAAAAAAAAGCAAAGAATAGCTATCGTCAGTAACAAAACCATTTCGAAAATATATTATAATAAGCTATTTGTATGTGTTATATTTATGCACTAAAGATTAGTGAAAACAAGGTAAAGGACAAAAATAAATACTTTGTTAGTATTTGATCATTACCAATGTACACTACCGTTAGAATATTTTTTTTGTATGTGAAATATATTAAGAATCATTCATAAATATGTATATACTTTTTGAAACTATGCTTTATTTTTCCGATTGAAGATGAATAAAGCTTTTTATACATCTAACTGATAGTTATTACTGTTTACTTCTAGAAATTGACTGTTGCTTTTGAACTAATCTTTGTTAACAGTTATATTTTTCTATATTGATCCTAAAAATAGGATAATACAAAAAAACAAATTGATCAAAAGGATTTTTTTTCTTTCTTTGTCTTTCTAGGATGCTCTTTTTTTTTTAATGTTTCTGTACTTTCATCTATAGCCCGCCATCTCACGTTTTTTCTTTCCAATCATATTATGTTTTCATTTGTTTTGAAACATACGACAACATTCTCTTACTCATATTTATTCTTTTTTTTGCATTAACAAATGACTATAGATCGAAAAAAAAAAGCGCTGATGTCTAAATATAAAAGTACATTATATAAGCTTCAGCTCACATGCACAGTGACAAATCAGCGTTTGTATTGATTGTATCTGTTAGAATTAAGTAACATTGTTCGATATAAACAATTGGATTTTGTATATGTTCTGACTAATCTTTGTTTTTGTCTTTGCTTTATACATATTATGAATATTTTTTTTAGAATTTGATTCTTTTGTTTCTTATCAGAAAAATGCATACAATTGTTTTTATCAATATTATTTTGGTACTATTAGTATCGATCTCAGGTGCACCTGCTGTTCGTGATGATCGAGTTATAATTGGATCAAGCATTGGTGGTATTATTGGTTTAGTAATTAAAAAGAAAAGAATCAATTTATTCCAATAAAGAAAGATTTGTTTTCTTTTTTTATAATCTTTAGATTATTTTAATTCTTGATTTAATTGCTATTTTTGAATTACTTACATCGGGCGGTCGTGGTATACTTTCAAAGCTTATTTGGATTTTAATTATTCTCTTTTTTCCGATTGGTGGTATGTTGTTTTTTTTTTTGTTTTGTTTCTGACTCATTTTTTTATATTTCCTTCTAAGGTTTAATTTTATATTGGTGCTGTGGTCGACGTCGTGCCGTTGATCAAGCTCTTTGAGAACTCAAAACGAAATAAAGTAATTCGTGAAAAATGGTTAAGTCCGAAAATACAAGTAGTGCTTTTCTTAATTGACTAAATATTCTGAAATATCTAATCGAGCTCATTACCGTATGTTTTTTCTTTTTCATTGTTCTTACATAGATCTCTTTTCTCTGTGTTATCGTTCTCACATATATACTTATCTTAAGCTTGAAGCAAATAAACTTTTTACGGTTAAATAATGAAAAATACATATATTCAAAGTGGTTTGTTGTTCTGTATGATAAATAAAACGAGAAATATTGAATTGAAAACAAAGATATTGTGAAGATGAAATCCATGCAATACTTTTTCTTTCAGCTATTTAGAAATCTATGTAGAATCGAAGAATTGTTATGATTCAGTAGCATATGAATCTTTGGTAACATAGTAATTTTATAAAATTCGATTGAATTTTTATTAAAGAATGAATTCAGATATACCAAAAAAAAAAAGAAAACAAATAAATAATATTCAGAAGAACATTTTAAAAAATAATTAGCAAAATTCTTGTTTTCATTGCTAGCAATTATGTCTACCTTGAATCGCTTTAATCCATACAATCAGAATTCAATTCAAAGCATCAAGGATTTTATTTGACAGTTCGACTAAATGAGATCTAAAAACTAAACTTTTTTCTTGATGTCGTTTGTAAACATTATTTGAAATATTTAGGACATATGAAAAGTACTGATAACATAAACAGTGCTCTATATTTCATCATTCTTCAATTGCTACCATCATAATAAAACTTTGATGAAAGCTATTTACCATTACATTAGACAATTTTCCTCAAAACAAGGGAATTGTTCTAATTCCAACAACAATAGTTCATCACCACAAAGTCAAAGAGAAAAATGTTTTCTTAAAAAATTAGCAGCCGTTACTTTAATCAATTTACAATAGAAGCAATGAAATATTCACAAAGAAGAAATTCTTCAACAATTTCTAACTTCACAAGCAGAAGTCCAAAAGGCTTAGTTAGATAACAATTATGTGATTTTTTTTTGATTGTACCGGGAGATTATAAGAAAATGAAATGTACGGATAAGAACAATGAATGATAGATATGTATACATTTTTTGGGAACCGGAATTTTCAGCACGGGAATTTTCAGCACGGAACGTTCAGCACGGAATTTTCAGCACAGGAACGTTCAGCACTAGGAATAATCAGCACGTTGAGTTTTCAGCACGCGAACATCCATCATCAAAAACCACACCGCGAGGTTCTTGGTATGGCTGTAGGTGCCTGTGGGTGTAAGTGAGATAATATGCGTAGATGTGGGTGTCGTTGCGGGCGGAGGCATAGATGGAGTTTATGTGTTTGTGAGGTTCTGGTGCCGATCTGAGTGTGAATCTAGGTGTGGGTATGGACGAAAATGAGTAAGAAATACACTCCGCTAACCCACACATAGAGAAGGATGCCCAGTACCAGACCAACACCCATCCGGCACCTGCAGCTACGCTCTTACCTATACCAAGAGCCTCACAGTGTGTTTTTCATGATGGACGTTCGCGTGCTGAAAATTCAACGTGCTGATTATTCCTAGTGCTGAACGTTCCTGTGCTGAAAATTCCGTGCTGAACGTTCCGTGCTGAAAATTCACCAACCCACATTTTTTCATTCGATTTCTCCTTGATATGTACGCCATTATTTGGTATGAAGTATTTCTACATAAATAGAAACAATTTATCGATCGATTCGTCCTAGTGTTCACTGCTGATCAATATCAAAAACTTAAAATATACGTTTTCAGTCTAAAATATTAAATCTATGAAAATATATAATGAATATAATATATACTTGAGATGTTCAAAATACTTAGTAAAAGAATTCAATGGATGCTATGATGTATAAATAATTCGAACGGCTTCTTTGAACATTTGATGAAATAAAACTTGATAGAATTATTTCTGTTTTTTTAGTTTTCTTCGAGTCACTACTACTTTGAAATATAATGAAACGATCTCTGAAAAAAGAATTAATATTGTTGAACATATCTACAAATTGATTTTTTGCACTATCATACTAGAAATATTCTACTTAATTAAATTTAATTTTCTTATTCAATTTAACAGATATTCTAATTATTATCTTCCTATAGATTTGATAACTCCGATATTTATTTATTCAATATAATACAATTGATTATAAGTAAAATGACAAAATAACTTATTTTTATAGCAACATTTATTTTTTAATAGTCTATGACTTTTTACATAAGTTTCAGATTTCAAGACGATACATTAGAGTAGATCTAAGAATAATTATTGATTTTCTATGAATCTATCTTTCAACTAGTTACTTTCTATTGACATGCTATATTAAAAATTATTCTATGTGAATTAGATGAATTTTAGCTTGTCTATTTTAATAATAGTTAAATAAAATCAGCACAAATATCAGAATAAATATCTAATGGCACAAATTTATGATACAGTGATTAACTTAAAAGTTATATAATCATCACACAAACATAATCTCTTAATAATTCTGTAATATGATGCATTTCTGTTGTCTTTTGAAATTTGTTCATATCTTGATCAACTAAAAAATAACGAAACTTTTCTATCATCAAATCAATGATAAACCGATTGAGATTTTTCTATTCATATTAATATAAAATCTCTTTGTTTTTCTATTACAAGAATCTTCGTTTTATTTGTATTTAAGATAGATATTCTAACTAGAATACCCTTTATTAGCAAGTGTTGAGGTTAAACAAAAATAATTGTACACCAATCGTCGAAAGAATCCTCTCTTTGATGAACGTCGTTGATAAATATCATTAATTTTTTTTGCTTTTTCTGATGGTAAATCATATTGCTCGATGGATGATAACTTATCATCTTGACATTTATTTTCTTTATTATAAGTATATCTTTTATGACGACGTTTTCGATCATTAGTACATTTTACTTTTGTATGAGAATTTTTCAAATCCATGAGACAATGATGACGACATGGACTGTAATCATTAGATCCATATTTTTTTCTTTGTTTAATTAATGATGGTGTTGGTGAAGAAGGACGTTCAAGTAAATTAAAAAGATCACAATAAATATTCTTATGATTTGATTGGTGATATTGTTGACGAGATGACGATAACGAAGAATATTGTAATGGAAGTAATGAAGCTTGTTGTGATGGTGACTGGGACATCTGACGAGGAAACGTAACATAATAGTTTGAAGCATAAGTAGTTATTGGATCTTCTAATCGACGACGACGCCTTGCTTCTGCTGGTGGAGGTGATGTTTGATCATAATGATGATAAGGTGAAGAAACATAAGTTATATTATTTGAACTTGTAATAGAACCGGGACGAGCAGAAAGAAATGAAGTATTAATGCCGTAGGACGACCGGCAGTGCATGTCAGTGCTCATGCACGCCGGTTATTTAGAGAATCCTAAAATTATAATACAAATGAATAATTTCATATGAGAATAATAATTTATGATGAGTCTAAAAATAAAACAATACTGATATAAAGAGTGTTTCATAATAACTGAAGATAAATTATTAATGATATTTTTCACACTTTTTTTTTTTTGACGTAGAAAGCTGAAATTTTTATCATATATATATCTAATCATGATTCATTATTTCTGAAAGTTTTAACCCTCTAACTATAACTAGTGGTGAAATACATCTCAAAATAAAATGCAAAAAAAAAAAAATAAGTAAGAAAATTTAAGTATTTCAATCGTGTCGATGTATTTCACCAGTAGTTATAGCCAGAGAGCTGAAACTTTGAGAAATAATGAATCTTGATTAGATATATATACGCGATAAAAAAATTTCAGTTCTCCACGTCAAGAAAAAACAAGACAAATATCATTAATAATTTATCCTCTATATGTACACTATGCGTTTTATCGTTTATTGTAAAACTCGTTTAAATACTTTATATTTAAAAAAAAAAACAATATTTAACTCTCAATTTTAATGATATGTACATTTCTATTCTGTGGTAATCAACGATAATCTCTCGTCAGATTCTTCAAGATATTATTTTTTTTACTTAACTTACATTTTTCTAGAATCGTCGAAAGGTTTTTTATGAACCATGGGACCACTCTTTCTATCTCTCTCGTTTCTTATTTTCTTTCACTCTGTTTTTCAATTACGACTCTTCTACATATATTTATGTGCACATTCTATCAACGTTGACAATATGTCTATCATCATTGCATTATTAGTTTGTTCCTACCTTCTCAGTCCCTCTTCTCCTATTTTCAATATAAATATAAATAAATATGTTTATATGTTTTTGTTCATTGAACGTGGTGTATGTAGGATGCTTACTGGTACATAAGAAGAGAAAAAGCTTCAACCTTGCTTGATGTTGACACCATCGCTGTCGTTGATGTGCATAATCTTGCTCTTTCTCTATTTTTTTTCTTTTTTTTTTTCCTTATATGCATATGTATATTCGTAACTTCGATAGAAGACTGTCGGGCAAGTCAAATTCGCACACATACAGGTATATATATGCATATATTTGCCAATTGATCAATTATCAACTAGGCAAACGAAAAAAAGAATAGGAGAAAAAACATACATCATTATAGAAACAGGTTGATCGACAGCAAACCCTTAACTGATCACGTATTCATCCGCAACTAATTACCGTCTGTTTGGATGACAATGATCTATAGCAAAATAAAATCTTCGTTTTTGAAAAAAACATTCAAATACCCTTCAGATAAAAATGTAAGCAATCATATGAAATTTTTTCTTTTTTTCATCATTTTTCATTTATATTTAATGAATAATAATAATAATGAATTTTATTTTTCTGTTCATTGACATATAATTATTGATAATTAAGAAAAAAACTTGAAATAATTTAATTATCAAGGATATTGAGTTTGATCAAGTTGTCATTACTACTGATCAAATATACATTCATTCTAATATTTACTGATGAACATTTTAGAATGAATCAATTTTATTTTTTACTATTCATTCATATCAATAAAATTTATTTGTTATGAATTAAAATAATATTTGAATATTTTTCTATTATTTAAAACAATTTAAATTAATCAATTTTCAAATATTCAAATAAATATATTCTAAAATTCTTTATCAAATCATAATTGATGATTAGAATAATGTTTTTTTTTATATACAATTTATCAATAGAGAATAAAGATTTGTTTGATCATCTTGGAAAAAAAAGTAAAATTTGACGTTGAAACCTTTTCTTTTTGTTCTGATTAATATAAATGTAATTTAGAAGTAGCTCTTGAATATTTGATGAGATTGTTAAAAAAAAAGCAAACAAAAAAAAAAGAATTTTTCATCAACATGAAATGAAATTCTCATTATATTATTAATATTTCAATCGTATTTTTTTTTTAATGATCTGCACAATTTCTGAAATTTATAGAAATGACGAAAAGAAAAACAAAACTACTTCATTTTATATTTTCTTTTTCAAATCACAACAAAAAACAACCATGAAAGAAAAAAAAAAGAAACTATATATATATATATATATATTATATTCTAAGTCATCATTCATTATAATTTATGTTGTTAATAATTACGATCTTGAATACAATTCTTAATAATCAATACTCATAATATATTAAGAAATACTTTGTTGATTTGTATTAATTTTTCTTTTGTAAAATAATACATAAACAATTATTCTGCTTTTTTTTCTTCTAATTAGTTTAATAAACTATCATTGCAAAGAAATTTCGTTTGTTTTTTTTTTTTTTTTGTTGTTCTTTTTTGTTCATCATCCTCCATATTAAATTCATTGACAAATACATAAGTGAATATATGAAAAAAAAGAAGAAAAAGAAGACGACGAATGTTTGTTGTGTAGTAATAGACATTAGACACACACATACACACGCACACAAAATGAGAAGGAGCGCAGTAAGCACATATTTGAGAAAGAAAGAACATAGATCTATGTGCCTGTTTGTAAAATAGACAGAAACATAGCGCAGATCGATTCTACTAACTGTCTAATGGTACAATATGTACAAAAGATAATGAATGAAAAAGAGGAAAAAAAACGAGTTTTTTTTTTTTTGACAAAAACAGAACACAGTCACTATTAACAGACAACATTCAGAAGGAAAAAGATTACACACACACACACACACAGAGACCAACAGAGAAGAATTCAATATGTGACTTCATAGAGTGTGGCTTTTTTATCGCCTGAACCTGTCAAAATATATCTATCATCAGCTGAAATGTCACAACAAAGAACGCTTGATGATTCTTTTGATTGAAATAAAAGAAGACCAGTTGGTGTACGACAACAATGAATATAATTATCTTTTCCAGCTGATATAAACCATTTACCTTGATGAGCAAATTTAAGTGCTAAAACACAACTTTCATGTAAACTAAGTGTATATTTATCATGATTTTTTTTCATTGATGGACTTGATGAATTACTCATTGCTGATGAAATATTAATTAATTCAACAGTTGATGATTCCATACCAACAGCAAGCCATTCACCTGTTGGACAATATCCCAATGTAAATATTTGTGAATCAAATTCATATGTTTGTAATGGAGCATAATCATTACGAAGATCCCAACATCGAACTGTATTATCTAATCCACCTGTCCACATTGTACGACCATCAGGTGCTATATCAATACATGATGTACCGTCAGCTAGACAAAAATAAAACAATCAAAAATGAAAAACAAAAAAAAAACTAAATACGACTTACTATGTCCAACAAAAGATTTAACAAGTGATTGATTATGAATATCATAAATAGCTATTGAACCATCTGAACAACAACAATAGCATAGTTTAGAATCCGATGGACCAATAGCAAGTGCATAACAAGCTGGAGCATTTAATTTTAATTCACCTTTTATTCTTGGTGATGTTGATGATGGTGGTTGATTAGATGATGGTGTTGGTGATGATGCATTTGAATTTGGTGTTGATGAACGAGTATTAGATGCTGAACCACCAGTAACTGCTGATAGATCACAAATTGATATAACATTTGCTTCACCACCAACAACAAGTGTACGATCATCAGCAAGTAATTTACAAAAACGTATATAACTATCATCATTAAGACATTTAAAATAAGATAATGGTGTTCGTACAGTTCCTGTTTGTTTAAGATCCCAAACTTTAACACAACCTTTACCACCCTATTCAAAAAATAAAAAAAGTTTTATTAGTTTTGTATTTTCTTAATTATATTTACAGTATAAATGCGTTTTGATTGTTCACTAATGGTTACTGCACAAACAACTTCACCATGCATTAATGTAGCAAGTTCTCGTGCTGACGTTGGTATATTAGGACCAGTTAATGCTTCAGGTGTCATATTAACAGGTGTTGTTACTGGATTACCTTGACCATCGGTTGTAGTAAAAAATGAATAAGCTTGATTCATTACATGATGATGATTACTAGATCCATGTTGTTGTTGGTGCTGTTGTTGTTGTTGTTGTTGTTGCTGTTGTCGTTGTACTGCTGCAACAGCTGCTGCTTGAGCTGCAGCAGCAGCTGCTTGTGCTTGGGCCATTTGTTGAGCATGTTGATGTTGAGCAGCCATAGCCATTGCTTGAGCAACTTCAGCCTGTGCAAATGGATGACCAAATGGTCCAAATGGATTTAATGGATTTCCATGATGTGGACCAAGTGCACCAAAAGCAGCTGCTAATGCTTCAGGTGAAGAAAACGGACCTGGATTAAAACTAAATAGAATGAAACAAAAAAAAAAGAAGTCATTAATAGAATTGAGCAAACAAAAAACATACCCGAATGGAGCACCAGTTGGCATACGTCCAGAAAGTCCATGTGGTAAACCTAATGGACCACCTTGTTGTAATTGAGGAGCACCAACATTTGATTGTACAACATTTGATCCTGTTGTTGGTGTCATCGATTTATTAGGTTGTGGTGTATTTCGTTCTTTTTTAATAGTTGATGATGACATACTATTTCTTTGTGAATTATCTTTATCAGACATAGGACTTCGATCACGTCGAGTTTTTGATGAACCTCCACTGCCAGCACCATTAGCTGTTGATACTGGTGGTGTTGCTGGCATAGTTTCATTTGTTGTTATTGAACCTGTTGTATTATCAGTTATTTCTGATTTAATTCCATTTGGTAAAAGAAGTCCACTACCAGAATTATTACTACCATTTGTATGTTTAGGATTTCCAATACTTGTATCAATAACTAAATCTGATTCACTTCGTTCACCATCACTTTCTGTTGTTGATGGTTTTATTGGTTTAGGCATATTACTACTATTACTTGATGGTCGATGTTTAGATGATTTTCCATTTGTTGATGATCGACTACTACTTGTTGTACCTTTTGTTCCTAATGTTAAATCACTATTATTAGCTCGAGGTGATGATGCATTTTCTTTTGACATTGATGAAGCACCTTCTTCTTTAATACCTGGTGCATATTGAGAAGCTAAACTGCTTAATACTGATGTATAGTTTAGCATGCCTGGTGGAAGACCAGCACCAGAACCTGGAAGACCTGGTGGACCGGGTAATTGAAGATGAGGTGCTGAACCAAGACCAGAAGATAAACCAGGAATTCCACCAGGTAATGGTGGAAGACCAGCACCAGTTGGTGATGAATTCGAAGCAGCAGCAAGTGCAACTGCTGTTGCTTGTGCATGAAATTGTTGTTGAATCACACTTCAATAAAAAGAAAAAAAAACAAAAACAAAAAAAAAAATCCAAATATCAAAAGAACAAAAAATTCAGGAAAAAGAAAAAAAAAATATTTTCTATGTTTTATTTTCTTTTTTAATTTTTAAAAAAAGAATCAAAGAAAATTAATCAGTCTACCTGTTAAGATCATTTACTGTAACTTGTTTAGCACGTTCAAGTGCAGGTAATGCATGTGCTTGTTGTTCAGGTGTTAAATAAGGAATGATTTGATGTAATAATGCTATTAAACGTTTTGTTATTTCTGTTTGTTTATGCATTTCATATGATAAACGATATGCCATTTCATAATAAAGACAATATTGTCTTTGTACTTCATTTTTTTCTGCAGTTAATTTTTCACATTCAATACGTAATTGTGCTCGTTCACCTTGCATATGTGTAAATTCTTTTTCTAATCGATCACATACATCATTAACACTAAATTCATATCCACTACCAGCACCTGTAGTGGAACGATTATTATTACTACTGTTAGTAAACATTTTTTCTATTTTACAAAAAAAAAAAAAAAAAAACAAAAACAAAAACAAAGATGATGAACAACGAATAAATTTTATCTTAACATACTTTAGATCATAATTCTTTTGTTTTAAAAAAAAAATGAAATTATTATTTTATATTTGATTGAAAGATAAAATAAAAAATATGAACGGAAAATTTGAAATATATGATAATCTAGAATGTCCGATAATAAAACAAAAGAAACATATACATTGATCGATCAATATAGATATATATAATATGTCCGTCCGTATCGACGAACGGAGCAATCATATAGAAGCTGACAGTGGCCATTTTTATGTATTGATCGATGTCTGACAGAGGAGGATAATCTAGACAGTTTTAAATGCATAAATGAATAGTTTTTAAGAAATATTATTGGTTAATATAAAACACCATTGATAAAAATCTAATTGAACTTCTCCTGCTGCTGCTACATTATTTGTTTCTATTCTTTATGTTTGTTTTCATTCGTTCGTTCATTTGTTTAATAGATCTTGGCACGTATTTTACATTTACATAAGTGTACACTTTATTCGATGGTGAACGACGATGAAACTTTGGCACCAACTATTGTCAAAGTGCCGTAAGGAATTTTTAAATTTTTTTTTTGATAGAAAATAAAGAAAAAAAAAAGATATGAATTTCAAAACAAGTTGAATTGAAAAATGATATAAAAATCTTTGTTTTTGTTCATGATTAGATCACCAAAATCACAATTGAAATCATCTTCATCATCATATAGTTGGAATTTTGGTAAATTACCACGAATACGTGCTGAACAGTTATTAATTGATGAACTTGTTGGAACATTTCTTATACGTGAAAGTGAACATTATCCAGGAGATTTAACATTATCAATAAAAGATGATGCAAAAATTCAACATTATAGAGTTAAACTTGATCCAATACGACACACATATACAGTTGATGATGAACTATATTTCCCTGATCTTCGTTTACTTGTTGAGGTTTGAATAAATTCATTCATCATTTTATTTTTGCTTACAGAAAAATGATTGATTTTTTTTGTTTTTTTTTTTAAAAAAAAATAGCATTATGAACTTGATGCTGATGGATTATGTTGTCGATTAGAAAAAGCATTGAATAATAAACAAGATACAGTTGATTCAATTAAAATTGGAGGAACAGTTCAACAAGCACCATCAGTAGTTGTTGTTTCATGTGAAACATCATCAACAATTGATTATAGAGAACTTCATCTTGGAAAACTTGTTGGATCAGGAGAATTTGCTGGTAAAATTTTTTTTAATATTTTGACATATTATTTTTTTTTTTTGTTTGATAAAACTTATTTCTATTCTATGTTTATTTTGAATTGTGTACTACATTCATTTCATATCTTATTTACAAGAATGAAGTTTTATTATAATATAGCATAAGACTGATTATAATTTACTACAATACATAATTCTATTTATTGATTATTATTACGTAAGAGTTGCTTAACAAAATTGTTCTATGATTTGATAATTTCTCTTCTTGGCTTATCTAGATTTGTATGTATGACACGATATTTTTAATCGAACATAAAAATAAATTAAACAAATCATAGAATTCTACTTATTAAGTTTTTTTTTTTATAACATTTATTAATAATATAAAATCTTCATATTGATCAGTCTTATACTATATTGTGATCAATAATATCCTTAAAATTTTAATATTTGATACAGCATGGCTAAATTGTAGAATAAAAAGAGGCAAGGGGAGGGAAAGGGAGAAATGTGAAATGTTGTCAACAAATGCATGATTGACTATTTTTAATTGATTTTGTTTTTTAGAGGTTTATGAAGGTACATACAGAAAAGCTCGTGTTGCTATTAAAGTACTAAAAGAAGCAACTTCAGCAGCTCTTTTTCGTCATGAAGCTGATATAATGAGGTATATATATATATATATCTTTATTTTGATTAATTTCACTTTTTTTTTTAAATTATTATTTTTTTCAGTTCATTAAAACATCGAAATCTAGTTAATTTTTTGGGTGTAGCACAAAAGCCAGATAATATTATTTATATAGTTACAGAATTTATGGCTAAAGGTTCACTTCTTCATTATTTAACAACACGTGGACGATCAGTTATTTCTCAAAAAGATTTACTTGGTTTTGCAATGTAAAGAAATTTTCATATAATGAATAATTCATTTTTTTTTTGTTATTTATTTAGTGATACATGTGAAGGTTTAACTTATTTAGAAGAAAATCATATTGTACATCGTGATGTTGCTGCAAGCAATGTATTAATTGCTGATGATAATACAGCTAAAGTAGCTGATTTTGGTTTAGCAAAATTTGTTGAAACAACAGGAAAAGAAAATGGAAATCAAGATTCAAATGGAAATATAATAACAACAGAAAAAATTAAATGTAGAACGAAATGGACAGCACCAGAAGCACTTGAATCAAAAGTAAATTATATCAAAAACAAAAAAAAAAAGTCAAGATTTTATGTTATTTCTTTAGAGATATACACATAAAAGTGATATGTGGTCATATGGTATTCTTCTTTGGGAAATCTTCTCTTATGGACGATGTCCCTATCCTCGTATTGTAAGTTTTCTATTTTATTGAAAGAAAAAGAAAAAAAACATTTTTAGTTTTTTGTATTATCTAGCCTGCTAATGATGTATTGCTCAATTTAAAACAAGGTCATCGAATGGAACCACCAGATGGTTGTCCACAAGAAGTAGGTGATATTATGCGTCAAACTTGGCATGCTGATCCTGATCGACGACCATCATTTAGTCAAGTACTCGAACGATTTAAACGTATAAATTCTTCTATAATGTCTTCCTGATTTGTTTGTTTGATAATCCATCCAATGTAAATTCTACACAAAACTGATTATTTATCGCAATTTATAAATATATCAATAGGTGCGTTTAGTTTTGTGCAAAATTAACGAACGAAAATTTCCGGCTGTCTTACTGAATTCAACTTTAGAATGGTAAATTATCATCTGTTTATGTTGTTTGTTTTTTTTGACGTCTGTATCTTCTCTTTTCTTATGTTTGTACATCTTAAAGATTTCAAAAAAATCATTAAAAATCAAATGATAAATTTATGTCTGGTTTTTTTTTCGATTTTGATATGTGCATTTGTTTTTTCTTTTGGTAGTTTGAAAAATTTACTGTTTTTGTTTGTTTGTTTGTTTTTGTTTTTTTTTGAAAGTGAAAATATGTGAATCAAAAGAAAAAGAAATTAAGAGTGAAATCTAAATATTATTGTTCTTATTGTTTCTGTCCTTGTTGTTTTCTTCTTGTCTATTGTCACATTAACAGATGCCACTAAAATCATATTAGTAATTTGACAATAAACCATGCAACTGATATCAGATTAAATAATTAGTATTCATAAAATATTTAAGTTTGTTTTTGTTTTTATTGTAAATATTCAGTTTAACAAAAAAGAAGAAAAAAAGTCTGATCAAAAGTAATATTAAGAATTGAGTGACTAATTCATATAAATGTCATCGAAAAATGATCAATTCTAAATCATGCAATTCGATTAAGACCGATATGCAAATACTCTTGAAAAACATCGATTATTGCTTCAAGCTAAATATGACTATATAATTTTTTTTTTTTTTCTTCCGGAGATATATTTTCTAAACGATCAGACTGATTATAATAAAAGATGTTATCTATTTTACTTGAGAAAAAAAATATAAAATGTTTAGTGATGACGATAACATTTCTATGTGGTTTTTTGTTTAATAAAATTATAAATCAAACTATGAGAATCATTTCTATCAAAATGTTTATTTGTTAAATATATTTTTTTTTCAACTTATCTTGACAATATTCGATAAAATAATAATTTACTGATTTTTTTTCTATACCTTTAATAATCATATGTACCTTTGTAATGATATGATGAAAATCTAGATTCTATATTCTTATTATAATTTTTGTTGATTATTTCAAATGAATGATCGAGTCAAATATAAGAGCTAGAAAAATAGTAGCGTAATCAGAAATCCTTGGATGGTTGGATGCTACTCTATTAGTTTTTGAAACTTTATTTGTTATCATAAAGGCTATTTCTTTGTTACATAACAAAATTGACGATAGCATATTTTTCTTTGAGAAAAAATTTTAAAATAACGTTGCATTGATTTCGTTCATTTTTAATATCCGACGAGAGATATTTAGCATCATCATAATTGCAAAAGTATATTGTCCTAAAAAATGGAACAGTCTTAACAACCATATTTTTATAAAATTATCGCAATTACTGAATCTTAACTAGAACTTGTGAACATTAAAAAACTAGAATTATCTTTAGGTAACTTAAATTCTTTCTTTCTTGAATCAATTCAATGAGTCTTTTATCAAAAGTATTCATAACTATAATTTGACAATTTTTACATATCGAATAAACTTTATAATTTGAATCTGTCTGTTTATGCAAGGTGTTATTTTTATATTTACAGTAAGCATCACAAACTTTGCAACAAGCAAACTGAAATTGTTTTATTTGTGCCTTCGAAAATAGATCAGTAAGATTCTTTCCGATTTTATTATATTGTAGCTCCGACATGACTAATAGAAATGTTGATTTTTCGTTGGTTAGTGTTTCTAATTATAGCAAAGAGTAACAAATGCGTATTTTTGTTTTTGAAATTGTAGGTAATAGAAACACAACCTACGATAGATTCAAATAATCAATATCAAAAGAAGTTAGAGGAAAAAATAGACTATCTACAACTGAATTATGTTATGTAGAGAATAAACTTCTTTTTTTTTTACTATATGTAACAAATTAGATCTATGGCTACAGCAACAGTAATAATAGCTAAAGACAGAACTTGTTGTTATTGAATACGAGTGTAAGTAAAATTAACTCTCATGTTTGTCTGTTCCATTCAACGATAATTTCAACTGAGCTGAAGATTCATCTATGAAAGGAAAGACTGATATCTGTAAGATTAATAGCGACTTTTTTGAGATTCTTTTGTTATGTATGATAATGATAACATCAGTTTGAGAGGGCCATTCCTCAAAATAACAAGTACTTATAATTAATTCTATTATCTATAAAAAAAAATCATTTTTAATTAACGTAAAAAATTCAAATTTTTCACTTTCTTTGGTCGCAGATGGGCTAAAAATCAGCTAAATAGTAGCATATTTTATCTTTTTATCATCTGGATGAGTTTTAAGACAAATATAAATCTTATAAATTCAACTTCATAAAAACTTGTTTACATGATAGCTATAATAAACATGACTAAGAGAGTAATTTACCCTTGAAACGACATTCTACCAATTATTGCTAGTACAACACAATTCCCTTATTTAACAAACGAACTAAAGAATGCTCAATTGATTCATCAGTCAACTTGACACTAGGATAGGGTACAAAAATAGTGTGAATGATTTGCGTTTATATTATTTTCACCTTCTTAAAAAAGAGTGTCCTCTTACAAATTGCTGGATGTTTGAACGTCATACCACCTAACTTCATCACGAAGAAACACGAAGAAAATGTAAATGTCTTGCATTTTGTTGATTTTATCGTTCCAAAAAAACACAACTGCTTTTTGTAAATGGTCTGTGGTTGGGCTCTGCACAATCTAGTCCCATCTTAGTGACACTATTATTGACAAACAAGTAAATTCATTGGCTTTTTTGAAAAGAATATATTTATAATACTTATTGTGATAACGAGAAAGAAACTAAATGAACAGTTATTAAAGCAATGTATTTCTTTTTGAGTTATTTGTTAATATATATATGTAAGTTATATTTCATTATCGACATTTTCATTAAACCTTCATCTAAAGAATCCCGCTGGATACACATATAAAAAACCAAAATTTATTTCATCGAATTTTCTTATCTAAGTATATATTTTTTCGATATTGTAAATAAAACATAATAAAAAAAAAATATTTTCTTTTACAAACTTATTTCTATCTATAATCGATTGATTTTTTTGTCAGTTATATTTGTGTATGTGCTGTTAAACTATATGTTACTACTTCACCTTGACTAGAACAAGACACCTAATCGAAAAATAAAAAGTTGATTTGTTTGTCTTAAATAAGCAACGAAAAACAAAAACAAAACAGTCGATCAAGGTTAGTATGTTGAAACCCATTCTATCGTATTATATTATTCATTGACGAATAAATGGATCGATCGAATTTTTACAATATAATTCATTTAAGTTTATCGTTTTTTCTTATTCTTACACCTTTTGGTGTTACACAAATATTTCAAACATCATCAGATCACGCTAAAGATGGTGCATTTGCACTAGCTATTACAAGTCTGGTATTTTGTTTAACTAATTTAGTTCTATCATCATATATAACTCGATCATTAGGTGTACGATTAACATTAATTTTTTCGAGTGTGGCATACGTGCCATTTATTGCCTCTAATATAAAATATAATAGATGGACATTATACATATCTGGATTCTTAGTTGGTGTTGGTGCAGCTTTATTATGGACAGCTCAAGGTGTCTATGTTACCATCTCAACAAATAAACATGAACAAGTAAATAATCTAGTACCATCATCCACAAGGGGTTTAATGAATGGTACATTTTTCGGTATATTTCAATTACATCAAATTATTGGAAATTTGCTTGTCTCATTTTTATTTCATATAAAGCTTGATGAATGGATCATTTTTACAATACTGACAAGTATTTGTGGATTAGGAACATTCAGTTTAATTTTTCTACGACCTGTAGAAATACCAAAAGATGGAAGTAAAACATTGATTATTTTATATTCTATGAATAATATTTCATTTTATATTTTCTAGAGAAACAGTCGATTCTATCGAGTGTATCAATACTTTTCGATATTCGTTTTCTTTTTCTTATTCCAACAATGTGTTATAGTGGATTATCTCAAGGGTTCATTGCTGCTGCCGTACCTCCATTGATTGTTGATAAAAGTTGGAAATATTTAATATTTGGTTTATTTGGTACTGTTAGTGCTGTTAGTTATGTCTTCTTTGGAAATTTAAGTGATTTAATTGGTCGTCGTCTTGTTATTTTTGCTATTGGTGCACTTGCTCATATGACTATTTTTGTACTTTTATTAATAGTATGGGAACCACCATTGGACCAAAATAATACTGAAATATTTCTTATATTGGTTATTGGTTTAAGTATAGGTGATGCTATATTTGGGACATTATTATATTCTATCATAGGCACTTTCTATGAAGAATCACGGCTAGCAGATGCTTTTGCATGCTTAAAAGTATTTCAAGCAGGCTCTACAGCGATAGCATTTGTTGAAGACGTATATGTTCCATTTTCTATACAAGTCTTATGTCTAATTATTCTTTTGTCATTAGCTTTTATTACACTTATTTATGAACATTATGGTATTATATCATTAGATACAGGCAAAACAAGAATGTCAATTCAAAAGGAAAATAAAAAAGAAACTGAAGCCGACATAGAAGGACAATTCGCTTACGCAACATTATCGAATGAAACATAAATAATGTCACAACAAAAATTATGATTTAAAAATCAAAAACCCATATATATATTTAGCAATATTCATGCAAACAATATTAGAATTCAATTATTGTTCTTCTTGATTATCATTTCATTTGCAATTGTGAAATAGATTTTAGTTTTGTGTTATGTAGTTTTTTTATTTTTCGGAAATAAAAAAATTCAATGATACAAGAGTGATTACAAAACTGTCCATAAAAAAAAACGAATAGAGTGTATATAGAATACCAATCAATCACTCTAATTAAATATTAACTACATCTTCAGATGTATTTCTGGCCATAAAATTGAAAGATTACATAATTAATAAAAGCAAATCGGAGCACTCTATCATGAAGACGGGATAAACTCTAACCAGATTGTAAATAATTTAATCTCAAATCGAAGAGACGTAGTGTCAATTATGTATTATCTTATATGAGAGCATGGTCTATCGGGAGATGAATAATACACTCTAATAAAGTGGAAGTAAAATGTTAAAGTCTCAAAACATATGATAAGTTCATTGGATGTTTTCTAGATGTCCATAATTTTAAATAAAATAACGAAGATAATCTATTTTGAGTGAGAATAATGATTTGAATAAATAGTGAAATTATGGCATTGCACGAAATATATGGCTGGCCAGGGTCGGGCATATGGTGGAGCCTGTGTGATGTAACACTTCTTGCCTTTGACACTGCCGTGTACACCGTCCCTGTTCTATGATGCTTACCAATGCTGGAGCCCCCTTTTTTGACAGTTACCAATAGTGCGCCCCATGCCTTCAATGATGAGTTACGTTCCTGTGGCTAGCTATGAAATAATCAACTGTTCAAAGATTAACACGTTCTGCACTAGGACTTGAAGATGTAAGGCAACCTTTGTTCTTTTGAGAGAAGTAGTGCCAGTAGTAGTTTTATTCCTCATGAAAAGCTTCGAGAAACTCTTTCTCTATATAGACTTATAGTAAAAGCTAAGCTCTATTTTTCTGTGCTATTAGATCATTCCTCAAGTAATATCATAATAATAAAATTTCGGTAACATCTATTTTTCTATCATATATAGCGGTTATGCTAATGCCTATTTAAAAGGCAAAATGAATATATTTTGAATAACTTCTGATCGAAAAGAAATAGAGAGCTGCAGCTTTCGTCGTTCGAAAGAGAAGGAAAAGATACATCGAATCTTATATTATACATTTTCCTAATATGTGTTTTACAGTTTGTTTAATCAATTTTCTAAGTATGAAAAAAATGTTGTTTTATCAGAAAAGAAAAAGGGAAAAAGCATCTTTCAAAATAATGGGTAGAAAAATCACTGAAAGCTTCGACTGCAATACCAATAATTTCTGAGTGGTTCATTCTGAATATCCGAAAATTGTGCAGTCTTGTAGATCTTCAATTGGCTATTTGAAAACATCTGTGACAATTGTAAATTTGCTGTGACTGCCTCATAGGACAGGTCTATTTCTAAAGATATCGATTGAAAACCTTAAAACAATCATGTCAAAAAGAAACTGTATAATTTACGATTCGTTGTATCTTTGTTTCCTCTTTCAAACAACGAAAGCTGCAGCTCTCTATCTCTTTTCTATCAGAAGTTATTCAAAATATGTTCACTCCGCCTTTTTTTAAATAGACATTAGTATAGCCGGTACATATGGTAGAAAAATAGATGTTTTCCAAATTTTATCATTATGATATTACTTAAGGAATGATGTAATAATACAGATAAATAGAGCATCGTTTTTACTATCAATCTATATAGAGAAAAAGTTTCTTCAAAGTTTTCATAAGGAATTAAAGTACCACTTCCACTACTTTTGGATAGTCCAAAGTATTAATCCTCCTCTATTTTATGTTTATGTTGCTATACATCGATATTAAAACACTCCATAACTACATTACTTGCCCATCTTCAATCTCAAGAAGTGACACATTAAATGGTTATGGTATCTTGTCTAATCCTGTTCACTGGACTAGTACCGAAACGGGCGTTACACCTGATCCGAATTGACTAACAGGAATAAATAACGATGGTGGTGATTCAAATAGTCCAATATATTGTTCAGCTGAATGTGATACAACTCTTCAAGATCATGATGGATGATTTTGGGTACGAATAAATTCAATTTAATATTTAAGAGAGGAATCGTAATACCATCGAGTGCATGAGACACTCGACCGGAAAAAGTTTCTCTTTTTTTTTCCTTGTAAACTTAGTCGATATCGACTTTTTACGACTGTCATGTCCTTATAAGAAGAAAGACAACGAAAATTTTCCTGTGAAAGTTGTACTCGTTTTCATTTCAACGAATTATTGAGTTTTTTTAAATACATTATACTAAAGGGTAGAGAATTAAAAACTGAACAAAACAAGCTATTTCAATATAATAGAATGTTGACTCAGTCATGTTTTATAAGGTTCTTTTGATGAGTCTAAGATGCCGAGATTAAAAATAAGAGGGTGCCAAGTTGATTTTTATATGTTATGTAAATTTTTATTCTCTACAAAAATGCCAAAAAGATATTCAAAAATAAATGGTATGTTTGGAGCGAGACGGAGTTCATTTCTCTCTCTTATATCGTGCTTTTTGATGATTTTTCTAAAGAAAAAAAAAACATTTTTAGCAGTCTTCATTGTTAGAACACAATTGTAAAGTCAAACGAATGTGACATTCGAAATCAGCATTACAAACGACAGTGAGTCAGATACATTTTAGAAAAAAATTTTCCTGCAAAAGCCTAACCTCTGGGAAACGACAGGGCATAATTTTAATAAATTACAGTTGTGAGGTACCATAGGTGATTTTTTCACAAGAAAAAATTTCTCTAAAATGTATACAATTCGGTGTTGTTTTTAGCGCTGGTTCCGAGCGTCACATTTATTTTGCTTTACACTTGTCTCATGAAAATGAAAACTGTTTAAGATTTTTTTTTTTTCTTTAAAAAGAGCTTCAAAAATCGCTATATATAAGAGACGTAATCTAGTGAAAAATTTTAGCGATTAAAATCAATTAAAATTTCAAAATCCTATGATATACTAATCGATTACTACAGATTAGAAGAATGTAGTTGATTAAAGAACCCAATGATAATTGGGATTTGGTTCCGCAATAGCCATGATGAAAATTCTCATATAATTGAATTCAGCATGATTTTGATCAATTTTTTACACTGTTGTGCTGCTTTGTAAACGATAAAATGGAATACAATTAAATAAAGACCTTTTACCATCTAAGAAAAAACATGAAAAAATCGATTAAAGTCAGTTTTTTTTATTGTTTTTTTACATGGCAATTATTGACTCTTACTACCTGTTAATCAATTTTCATCTATTCTTACCTTTTAATCGATTATAATCTATTCGTATTTTCTAATCGATTCTAATCTATACTTACTTTTTAATTGATTTTAATGTATTTTTACTTTGTAATCGGTTTTAATCGATCATATCATTATTTAAGCCTTGTTTCACATAAAAATATTTTCTAAGTATAGACGTTGTTATTAATAACTCTATCCTCAAATATACTGTGTAAGTTTTACTAAAAAACGATTAAAATTAAACAAAATATCTGAATCGATTTGAATCAGTTGCATGGATATTTTCACTTTTTTCTATATAAGATTTTTTTGTATATCTAAATCACTTTTATAATTGCTATCCTCACGCATTGTACTCATTTAATGTTTATTTGCTACTTACGAAAATAATCAGATTTACTTCATTACTAATTTCGAAAATTGATCAAAGATGATCCGTGTTTTTGATGAAATTTCAATTGATTAACATCAGATTACAACTGAGATAATCGTTAATAATCGATTGAAAATCCATAAATCTGATTTATATCGATTAAGATTTTAACTGATTGACAAGATTAAAATCGGATTATAATTGAAACAGTCGTTAGCAATCGATTAGAAATCTATCAATTCACTTTTTGTCGATTGAGAATTTAATCGATTAACAAGATTAAAATCCGATGACCATTAACATAATGTTTAGTAATCGTATTAGAATCCAACATAATGATTTCTGTTGATTGAGATTTCAATCGATTAAAAAAATTAAAATTGAATTTTAAGTAAAAAATAAGTAAAAATCGATTGACCGAATTATTTTCTCAATAGATTTGAGGATTATAATCAATTTCAATCATATTATAGTGCCAAAATTAGATGATTGAGAAATAATTTGAGATTTATATAGTGGTAATCAATTGTAATCCTGATTTTCATAAGAATATTTTTCACTGGGAGAAACCATGTTACACTCCGAATCTATCATTTTGTAGAGAATAAAAGTTACATAACATATATAAAATTCGGCTTGACACTTTCTTATTCTGAATTCCGACAGCAGATAGATTGTTATAAAGTGGACATCGTAAGTTCATCAAAAGAACTACTTTTCATTCATGTTGACCTCGTAAAACATGATCCAGTAGACATCATATTATATTGAAATACTACGTTTTGTTCAATTTTTAATTCTCTATCCTTTAGTATAATTTATAAAAAAAAACCTCAATAATTCGTTGAAACGAAAACGACTACAACTTTTATAGACAAATTTTAGTTGTTTTTTTCTCATAAAGAAATTATGGTGGTAAAAAGCCGATATCGACTTTCGAGTTGGTGATTTCAGACACCAATGTATTGAATGCACAAAAAAAGGGAAAACTTGTTTTGGTCGAGTGTCTCGTATACTCTATACGGTATCATGTTTATTCTCTTAAGTTCTTTTTTGTTTTCAACGTAAATGTTCAGTTTAACAAAAAAAAACTAATCTATCGTCATATTGAAAATTGAGTCACTAATTAATATAAATGTCATCGAAAAATGATCAATTCTAAATCATGCAATTCAATTAGAACCGATATGCAAATACAATTAAAAAAAATCGACTACTGCTTCAAGCTAAATATGACTATATAATTTTTGTTTTTTTTTCCGGAGATATATTTTCTAAACGATCACGCCGATTATAATAAAAGATGTTATATATTTTACTTGAGAGAAATATAAAATGTTTATTGATGATGACGACATATCTATGTGATATTTGTTCAATAATATTATAAATCAAATTATGAGAATCATTTCTATCAAAATGTTTATTTGTTAAATATATTTTTTTTTTCAACATAATTAGTTGTTCACAGGATTATTTGATGAAAGAATGGAAAATAATGATCGAGGTTATAATCATCTCTTTTATTTCAATTCATCTTAACAATATTCTATAAAATAATAGTTTACTGATTTTTTTCTATGCCTTTAATAATCATATGTGCCTTTGTAATGATATGATGAAAATCTAGATTCTATATTCTTATTATAATTTTTGTTGATTATTTCAAATAAATGATCGAGTCAAACAGGAGCTTCAGAAATAGAACTTTCCATTAGCTTTTGTGAAAAGAATATATTTGCCACACTTATTTTGATAAAGAGAAAAGAATCAAATGAACAGTTATTAAAACAATATTTTTTTTTTCGAGTTATTTATTAATATATATAAGTTGCATTTCATCATAATCATTTTTGTCAAATCTTAATCTAAACAATTCCACTTCATACACATGTGAATAACCAAAATCTATTTTATTGAGTTTTTTTCATCTAAGCATATATTTTTTCTATGTTAAAAATAAAACATAATCAAAAATATTTTCTTTTATAAACTTATTTCTATCTATAATCGATTGATTTTTTTTGTCAGTTATATTTGTGCATGTAATGTTAAACTACATGATGCTACTTCACCTTTACTTGCACGAGATATGTAATCGGAGAAAAACAATCGATTTCTTTGTTTTAAATAAGCAACGTAAAACAAAAACAAAACAGTCGACTAAGGTTAATATGTTGAAACGCGTTCTATCATATTATATTATTCATTGACGAATAAATGGATCGATCGAATTTTTACAATGTAATTCATTTAAGTTTGTCGTTTTTTCTTATTTTTATGTCTTATAATGTTACACAAATATTTCAAACATCATCAGATCATGCTAAAGATGGTGCATTTGCATTAGGCATTATATATCTGGTATTTTGTTTAACT